GGCATGTAGTTGGTCGTGTTGTAGGCATGTAGTAAGCTGGTTGTAGGGCATGTAGTTGGTCGTGTTGTAGGGCATGTATAATGCAAGCTGGTTGTAGGGCATGTAGTTGGTCGTGTTGTAAGGCAAGCTGGTAGGTAGTAAGCTCGTGTTGTAGTAAGCTGGTTGTAGTTGGTCGTGTTGTAGTCGTGTAGTTGGTCATGTAGTAGTAAGCTGGTTGTAGGGCATGTAGTTGGTCGTGTTGTAGGGCATGTAGTAAGCTGGTTGTAAGGCATGTAGTTGGTCGTGTTGTAGGCATGTAGTAAGCTGGTTGTAGGGCATGTAGTTGGTCGTGTTGTTAAATGTAGTAAGCTTGTAGGGCATGTAGTAAGCTGCTAGTAGAGCATATAGTTGGTCGTGTAGGGCATGTAGTTGGCCCAGTTGCAGGGGAGGATGTAGGCCATGTCGAAGTGCATGTAGTTAGTCCTGTTGCAGGGGATGATGTAGGCCATATCGAAGTGCATGTAGTTGGTGCTGTTGCAGGGGATGATGTAGGCCATGGAGTTGGCCCTGTTGCAGGGGATGATGTAGGACATGTAGTAGGCCCTGTTGCAGGGGATGATGTAGGCCATGTCGAGGTGCATGTAGTTGGCCCTGTTGCAGGGGATGATGTAAGCCATGTCGAGGTGCATGTAGGTGGCCCTGTTGCAGGGCATGATGTAGGCCATGTCTTAGGGCATGTAGGTGGCCCTATTGCAGGGCATGTTGTAGGGCATGTAGGTGGCCCTGTTGCAGGGGGTGATGTAGGCCATGTTGTAGGGCATGTAGTTGGCCCTGTTGCAGGGGATGATGTAGGCCATGTTGTAGGGCATGTAGTTGGCCCTGTTGCAGGGCATGTTGTAGGGCATGTAGGTGGCCCTGTGTGATGTAGGCCATGTTTCAGGGCATGATGTTGCAGGGGATGATGTAGGCCATGTTGTAGGGCATGTACTTGGCCCTGTTGCAGGGCATGTTGTAGGGCATGTAGGTGGCCCTGTTGCAGGGGGTGATGTAGGCCATGTTGTAGGGCATGTAGTTGGCCCTGTTGCAGGGGATGATGTAGGCCATGTTGTAGGGCATGTAGTTGGTGGCCCTGTTGCAGGGGATGATGTAGTTGGCCATGGTAGGGCATGTAGTTGCAGGCCATGTTGTAGGCAGGGGATGATGTAGGCCATGTTGTAGGGCATGTAGTTGGCCCTGTTGCAGGGGGATGATGTAGGCCATGTTGTAGGGCATGGCATGTTGCTGGGCCCAGGGGATGATTGTAGGTGGCCCTGTAGGGCATGTAGTTGGCCCTATTGCAGGGGACTGTTGCAGGGGATGTTGTAGGGCATGTCGTAGGGCATGTAGCTGGCCCAGTTGCAGGTGATGCTATAGGCCATGTCGTAGGGCATGTAGTTGGCCCTGTTGCAGGTGATGATGTAGGCCATGTTGTAGGGCATGTAGTTGGCCCTGTTGCAGGGGATGATATAGGCCATGTTGTAGGGCATGTAGTTGGCCGTGTTGCAGGTGATGATGTAGGCCATGTTGTAGGGCATGTTGTAGGGCATGTAGTTGGTCCTGTTTCAGGGGATGATGTAGGCCATGTTGTAGGGCATGTAGTTGGTCCTGTTTCAGGGGATGATGTAGGCCATGTCGTAGGGCATGTAGCTGGCCCTGTTTCAGGGGATGATGTAGGCCATGTTTTAGGAGGTTGTTATGTGAGTTGTATGAAACGGGGTAAATGTTTATGCTGCTCCCAATAATACTGTGTGTATATATTGGTGTATGTGTGCGTGTGGAGGTTGTGTGGGGGTGTACGTGTGCGTGTGGATGTTGTGTGTTAGTTAGTGCGTGGTATTATTTTGTGTATGTTTGTGCGTGTGCGTTCGTTCCAATTTATATCTCAAAAACATTTGTTCAAGTTACTTAATTCATAAAGACGTATGCAAACAACTTTGATGATGGACGATACCTGGTTCTTTAGGCATGAACGAAAGCAACGCAATTGTTAACTCTTGGATTACAAAAATGACTCGAGCTACATACATATGTGTGCTGTTTTGACACCACGTACAAAACTTCTTCAGATCGACGGGCGGACACATTAAACACTCCTTGCCCCCCTGGGCAAAACACAAGAGAAATGTCCATCTAACGCTGTGTTCAGAGAGGTCTATCAGTTGACTCACAGAATTGGGATCCGAACGTCCTGAGGGGCACTCACTCTCAGGTCTTGATGAGAGGCGATAACACCTAAAACAACATGTTTTATCTTACATTATACTAACTCGATGTGAAGGTTCACTGTTAGTACCGTAGATACCACACAAAAACATTATCTTGTGAATTACTAGATGATAATCATGGGTGGTTATAAAATAAATTGCCATAGACGTTATTGAGGGACGTTGGGTTTTAAGCAGGAACGAATAGTAACACATTATGGAGTAGGTCAAACAAACAAACAAACACACAAACGAAACAAACAGTAATTCGCCAGGATCTAAATGTACAAAGCCATCGGACGGATGGGTTACGATAAAGCATGACTTTCATCCTGTTATCAGAGTTACACAAGCCATAGCAACAGTGGTGGTAAGGCATCTTCAGCTTCTCTCGGTACCACGTCAGATAGCGGTCGTTGCACGGTCAAACACGTTACAAATTTTGACAGCCGTTTGTTTTGACAGTTTGCCCGCGGTCACGTGGTTTTGCAAAGGGACATCGCTCTAAACGAACTGGAAAATGGCTTATTGAGACAGCTGCATAGGTATACTACTGGGTGTACTACTATACAACACATATTAATTGTACTACATATATAGGTATACTACGTTTTTAAGATAAAAGAGCTCACTCATGAAAACCAGCTCTCAGAGTGTTAAACGCCGGGGTTCCAACCTATACACAGATGGGGGGTGTCCCACAGGCAATCGTGTCTTTGAGAGGATTAAAGATTTTATAAAATATATACAAAAATTTAAGATGACCCTCGACTCGAAATGCTTCACTGTATAATACATTATGAGAAGGCCGGACACTTCGTTGCACCCCACCGGACTACTTTGCCGATCGCTACGCTACCATCGCATACAATCGATTAAAACTGAATGTAAACATGATCATGGAAGATTGGCCTATCGCCAACCACTCATGAATCCTACCAGTTCTTTATTGTTCTTTTGGTTGATGTTTGTGAAAGAGACATTTACAAATGATGCTTTCTTTTGAGAAGCCATTGCTTGGGAAAAAATCTTACATTTCTTCCAAGTCAATCCTTCGATGAAAGTAAAACCTACCGAGAATATATAAATAGTGTGCAGATTTAGCAGCGTTGACCAACCAGAGGGCTTGCTTCGACCACACCCCCGTTTTGTGCGGATATATCGTCAGTCATTTGTGTCAAGATCGTTTAGTTGAGGGTCAAAATCGACTTTCAGAAATAGCAATAAAGAATTGGTAGGTGTCCTCCCCTATTCTCTGTTCAGCTCCCCACTGACCTGGTCTGTTGACGCTCTTCCTCCCCAATTCTCTGTTCAGCTCCCCACTTACCTGGTCTGTTGACGCTCTTCTTCCCTATTCTCTGTTCAGCTCCCCACTGACCTGGTCTGTTGACGCTCTTCTTCCCCAATTCTCTGTTCAGCTCCCCACTGACCTGGTCTGTTGACCCTCTTCCCCTATATCTCTGTTCAGCTCCCCACTGACCTGGTCTGTTGACGCTCTTCTTCCCCAATTCTCCAGCTCCCCCACTTACCTGGTCTGTTCAGCTCTTCCCCAGCTCCCCACTTACCTGGTCTGTTGACGCTCTTCTTCCCCAATTCTCTGTTCAGCTCCCCACTTACCTGGTCTGTTGACGCTCTTCCTCCCCTATTCTCTGTTCAGCTCCCCACTTACCTGGTCTGTTGACGCTCTTCTTCCCCTATTCTCTGTTCAGCTCCCCACTGACTTGGTCTGTTGACGCTCTTCTCTCCCCAATTCTCTGTTCAGCTCCCCACTGACCTGGTCTGTTGACGCTCTTCTTCCCCTATTCTCTGTTCAGCTCCCCACTGACCTGGTCTGTTGACGCTCTTCTTCCCCAATTCTCTGTTCAGCTCCCCACTGACCTGGTCTGTTGACCCTCTTCTTCCCCTATTCTCTGTTCAGCTCCCCACTGACCTGGTCTGTTGACGCTCTTCCTCCCCAATTCTCTGTTCAGCTCCCCACTGACCTGGTCTGTTGACCCTCTTCCTCCCCTATTCTCTGTTCAGCTCCCCACTGACCTGGTCTGTTGACGCTCTTCCTCCCCTATTCTCTGTTCAGCTCCCCACTTACCTGGTCTGTTGACGCTCTTCCTCCCCTATTCTCTGTTCAGCTCCCCACTTGACCTGGTCTGTTGACGCTCTTCTTCCCCAATTCTCTGTTCAGCTCCCCACTTACCCTGGTCTGTTGACGCTCTTTCCTCCCTATTCTCTGTTCAGCTCCCCACTTACCTGGTCTGTTGACGCTCTTTCCTCCCCTATTCTCTGTTCAGCTCCCCACTTGACCTGGTCTGTTGACGCTCTTCTTCCCCAATTCTCTGTTCAGCTTCCCACTTACCTGGTCTGTTGACGCTTCTTCCCCTATTCTCTGTTCAGCTCCCCACTTACCTGGTCTGTTGACGCTCTTCCTCCCCTATTCTCTGTTCAGCTCCCCACTTACCTGGTCTGTTGACGCTCTTCCTCCCCTATTCTCTGTTCAGCTCCCCACTTACCTGGTCTGTTGACGCTCTTCCTCCCCTATTCTCTGTTCAGCTCCCCACTGACCTTGGTCTGTTGACGCTCTTCCTCCCCTATTCTCTGTTCAGCTCCCCACTTACCTGGTCTGTTGACGCTCTTCCTCCCCTATTCTCTGTTCAGCTCCCCACTGACCTGGTCTGTTGACGCTCTTCTTCCCCAATTCTCTGTTCAGCTCCCCACTTACCTGGTCTGTTGACGCTCTTCTTCCCCAATTCTCTGTTCAGCTCCCCACTGACTTGGTCTGTTGACCCTCTTCCTCTTCTTTTCTCTGTTCAGCTTCTCATTGCCCTGGTCTGTTACGCTGTGTGTCGGTTAGTTCTGATTGAGCAATGGTAATACCATAACTGGAGAATTGGCTTGGAAAGTATCGTTATCTACATATCAAGAATCCTTTGTGCAGTGTGTCACACGAAAGGGGAGATTCACCATTTGATCGTTTTATTTTACAAAGCTTACTTCAGGGCGTCTATAGCAGGTCCGCGTGGTTTGGTGTTCAGAAGGCGGAGTTATACAGGGATATTGAGAATCCCTAATGATACACAGTAAACATAACCGTTGGAGCACAATTGACTGTTAAACGCACTCTTGGGGTATTTACGGTATTGTGTTCATGTTGATTTCGTCAAACATTAAATACAGTACTGCTTCTACAGCCTTGGGCAATCTACCTTGTTCCCTGGTCGGGGTATATATAAGGGGTACCCCGGGTACCGTCACCACAGCCGATAAGTATGTATGTCTCCACCATCGTACTCCTTCTGACCCTTGGGACAGAGACTTCAAGCACACAAAATACGGTAGGCACAACGCATGACCCTAGGGACAGTGACTACAGACTCACCAAATACGGTAGGCACAACGTATGACCCTAGGGACAGTGACTACAGACTTACCAAATACGGTAGGTACAACGTATGACCCTTGGGACAGTGACTACAGACTCACCAAATACGGTAGGCACAACGTATGACCCTAGGGACAGTGACTACAGGCTTACCAAATACGGTAGGCACAACGTATGACCCTTGGGACAGTGACTACAGACTCACCAAATACGGTAGGCACAACGTATGACCCTTGGGACAGTGACTACAGACTCACCAAATACGGTAGGCACAACGTATGACTTGGGTAGTGACTACAGACTCAACACGTATACGGACCCTTTGGGACAGTGACTACAGGACTTACCTTGGGACAGTGACTACAGACTCACCAAATACGGTAGGCACAACGTATGACCCTTGGGACAGTGACTGACTCACCAAATACGGTAGGCACAACGGACCCTTGGGACAGTGACTACAGACTCACCAAATACAGACTCACCAATACGGTAGGCAATAACGTATGACCCCTTTGGTAGGTATGACCCTAGGGACAGTGGCTACAGGCTTACCAATACGGTAGGCTCAACGTATGACCCTTGGGACAGTGACTACAGACTCACCAAATACGGTAGGCACAACGTATGACCCTAGGGACAGTGACTACAGGCTTACCAATACGGCAGGCTCTACGCATGACCCTTGGGACAGTGACTACAGACTCACCAAATACGGTAGGCACAACGTATGACCCTTGGGACAGTGACTACAGGCTTACCAATACGGTAGGCTCCACGCATGACCTATTTGACAGTAACTACAGAGTGACTACAGACTCACTAAATACAGCATGTTCAACGTATGACCCTTGGGACAGTGACTACAGGCTTATGTTTTGTTACCTGTATTTACAGGACCCGATCCAGGAGATTTCTGACCAGTCCATAGCAGAAAATGACCGTGAGTAGCAAAAGTGTGTTTGGAAACCTTGCCTCCATGTCCCCTGCACATGATTCGGTCACCTGAAGTTTTACCGTTAGTTTGGAAACCATCCATGTATTGCTCCCAGCCAGCCAGTCAGGCGACGTTTTACCAGTAATTATATTATTGTCAAAGTGTACCTGGCTTACACATCAAAGTAAAAATGTGCTTGCAGACATTGTCCGGTGATACTTCGTCACACCCATGCCTCTTATTGCAGTTTTCGACAAGTATCAGTTTGTGGATGTCATAGCTGATAAACGGCGGGGTATGGAAGTTCTCGTTGATGAACTGGAGGAGAGATCGAGGAAACTCCAAGCAGGACAGGGTGAGTGGCAGTTGATGGGTCAGCATGATCCTATCAATTCCAACCTTTATGTGTGTACACAGTCATGTGAATGGGGGAGTATACTTTAGTGTATGCATGTTGATATTTGCATGTCAGAAACATGATCGTATATATATACTCTTAAAAAAATGGGGGAACTTTTTATTTTACAATTGAAACAATTGGGAGATATATCGGAGTAAATCTATGTTGATATGATAATAATGAATGTTTTGAGAGTGCATCACCACTTGCACTTCCTTATGACCATAGTTGTTTGTACAGTAATCGCTCTTGAAAGATGGTTGGTGTATGACGTGAAATTTGCATGTGTACGATTTTCATTTTCAAACAAAAAACCCGACTAGAAACAAACACTGAAAACCGTGTGATGCAAGATGATTGTCAAAATTGATTATCTACAGTGATTTATCGACTCTCGACTGACACCCCATGCGTTGTGTTTGGGGGTGGTGACAAAGAGAAATGATGGTGCCTTCATAAGATGTCTGTCTTTGACAAGTTTGTTGCTGCTTATACTTCCTATCCAAATTGAAAGTTCCCCTACCTTTTTTAAGAGTACACACACACACACACACCCACACACACACGATAGATAGACAGATAGACAGAAAGACAGACAGACAGACAGATAGATAGATAGATATAGTACAACTAGTTGCTATTTACCAGATGGGGGTGGCGCTCTGCTGGATACGGTGTATGAGGTGACGGAGGAGGCAAACAGCGTCTTCGAGGACGCCTTTCTGTACCTGGAGAGGGCATTCGTCCAACTCTGGAAGTGTGAGTATGACTTAGGAACTTCGCTAGACCTTGATGTATTTAAGTTGTCATTATTGAACATCCTCCATTATCGACTGTTTTATGTCCATTCATCCATTTAGACCATTGGACACCATAGGAGGGAAGTGGCGTCACTACCACCAACAACGCTCCTATTCGAAACTGGGTGAACAGGAGAAAGTAATTTGATTGGACCATTATTTCTGGGCCATACGTATCGGGCTAAGGTATGGCAGTGAATGGACCCAGGGTATATATCATAAAAATTCCCTGCATGACAGAGAATGCCGCGTGAACTTCTGCAATACTTCTCTGTTGTTAATTTACTAGTTATAGCACAGGTAGAATAAAGGACGAGGTAGGATAACAGTCCAGTTAGCCCAGCTGGAAATCTCTAATTAGAAAGTTTGACAAACTGGGAGGAATTCAAATGTCTGTCCTCTTGCATTTTACCTTTCCTGTGGTTGCAAGAACTGACGTAACACATGAGCAACAACGTACGTGTGGTTACATTGAGTTTACAAAATATGCTTCAAACATTAAGAAATAACCAACTTTGGGCAAACACTTAACTCACAACGTATGTATGTATGTTATATATTCACCCCGTATTCATCCTCATATCGCAATTTACTAAAGTGTGTCAACATGTGTTGCTAAAATATTTTCTATAAAGCGCACTTTCACATAATTTAGTCTTATCCATTCATTAAGCGTTGTGATAATTCTAAAACACTCAGTAGTCTAATTCTCATTCATTTGAACACATTTCCAATACCATCTCGAAAATGTTTGGTCATTCTTTACTTTAGGCCAACCGTGATGGCCAAACAGGACCCTCATAATACCAACCCAATCCTTTACTTATGTCTGGGGTTATGAAAAGACGAAGTCTTGACCCCCACCAATATATTAATGTCCTTGGAAAGGCAGATGCAACAATGATGACGACACAATGTTACAAAATAAACAACACTTGTTTCAGCACATCAACCTGGTCCGGAGCCGCCCTTCTGTGGAGCGCTGGTGGAATACGTGTTGTCTTGGAAAGAAGGTGAAGCCTGGTTATACTGATGTAGTGGTTGAGGTTCTGTTGTGTCCTGCTTACGACACTGGGGCTAGTGGAATACATGAACTCAGTGTGTAAAACTCCCAAAATTCCAAGCCATAAAGCCGGACTGGTAACTTTAAAACATTACCAGTCCGAACATAAACTTGCCTGTCCGGTTTTCAACAATGAAAACAAAAATCAGGTTTCTTAATACTTTACTGTTTGCAACATAGCACTAACAGGCAATGCACCGAGTTTAGGTAAACTGAAAGTACATGTGTTGTGATTGGTTGTTGTAAAATGAACTGTCCAATCGTAAATAGTTTAACATAATTATCATAATAACTTAAACACCTCAAACCGACGACAAGAGAACCTGTCTGATATTATGAAATATTTACTGTTAGGGGTAAAAACATCTACCAGACCACCGGACAGGCTACTGTGACCGTCCGAGATGAAAAGGGACCGTTCCGGACGGTCGGGCAGGCGGGAATGTTAAACGCTGCATGAACATATTGTAGTTAGATTGGTACTCAGACGGGTTAGAGCAGTTCCTATAAATAGTAGGGTACAGCTACATTAAAGGGATTAAACCCGATAAACTCGAAGCATGGTTTAAGATACCGCAACCTATGGTGGAAAATTTGGTGGGTCAGTGTAATCCCTGTAAATGGTTTTTGCCTTTGTGGAGTACGTTTGTATTTTTCAAAGTCCATAGTTTGACGATCGCCCCCAAGGACTGTGAGACTTTCTTGCGCATTGGACATAGACTTTAGGGACGTTGTGTACAATGTGTAGTGTTAGTGAAGTTTTACTTTGCAAAAGTCATCTCACCATTACCTTCAGTTGCATTAGGACCAGTGAAACCACTTGTAGGTGATGACGCGAGGCGAAATAGACAATCTCCAAGGACATCGAATACATCGAGGCGAGTCTATAAATATTTAAATAATTTTTTAAATAGTTCTGCCATCTTCAGTTTGGAAACAGCCAATAACCAGTGTGACAAGTACAACTAACCGGCCTTGGAGGCAGAAAATATGTCATTTTCATGTGATGTGATGTTAACCGATGATACCACGACGACATGGCATTTTGGTGCGGTTTGTCATCTGGCATAAACGCTATCTTCTATCTGATGATAATTCAGCTTTAAATGATGATTGGGGTTAAAATGATCATGGAGGTTTAAATGATGATTGAGGCTTATATGATAATTCGGGTTTAAATGACAATTCAGGTTTAAGGTTATTTCAGTGTATTCATTGATGTGTGAGGTTGATTTCTAATCCGAACATTTGCCGGTTCTGTAGTGTAAGCCCACTGCGGTACAATGTGGTACCAGTTTATACATGAGTGCTCAGTGCACAACACAGAATACTGAGTGGACCAGTTCCAGTCTTTGTTTCATCCTTAATGACAACTGGGGCGGTGGGGTAGCCTAGTGGTCAAAGCGTTCGCTCGTCACGCCGAAGACTCGGGTTCGATTTTCCACATGGGTACAATGTGTGAAGCCCATTTCTGGTGTCCCCCGCCTGAATATTGCTAGAATATTGCTAAAAGCGGCGTAAAACCAAACTCACTTACTCACTGTAAAAGAAAAGTCCAGAGTTGATGCAGAGAAAAAATCGCAACAACCATCCTTTTACGTGGTTTAATATAACTCGCTGGGTCCCTATCCATAAAGCGTTCGTAACATTACGACCAGTCGTATCTCTGTAGTTTACCATAGGCTTACGAATGTCGTAGCACTACGAACGTTTGTAGATCGAGACCCAGGGGTCTAATCATCGACATTTCACTCTCCCGGTGCTTTTCCGGCTATATCACGAAGGCTGCAAGTAGAATAGAAACAAAATTACCAATAGTCATTCATGTACATATTAAGCATTCATGTATAAAATATCAAACTTAATCCTTTTAAGGTAACGGTGCCATTGATAATAATCTCGCTTCGACGTTCCTAACCAATGATCTCCAGTGCTTTGCTTCCAAGGTGAAGGACGTATTCAGAGAATTTGAGGATCACAGCGAGGAAGGTAGGTTTTCAAACCTTCACATGTTCTCGACCAGATACATTTGACACAGGAATGGTATATCGTTACATAGTCATTTATGTTTGTCAGGTGCCAGTTTTAGTTAGTTCTGTTTAAAAAGTGTCTTTGGACTTTTAACGCGTTTCAAGGGGAGCAGCGAAAGAGCACATATTTTAACTAAAGACCTGGAACCTTGCCTATATCTTACATAAACAGTTTTGAAATGAGAGCATTATGTAATAATTCTTATATCGAACATTTGGCTTGTATTTCGGTACCTGTTATGCATGCATCTGTACCTGAAGTCCATACCTCAGTGACAATCCTGGTTAGAATGCTTGTAGACCACTAACACCCGTGAAGATCCAGGTTAGAACTCGTGCTTGGTTGACACATGTCATCGTATCCCAATTGTGTAGATTGATGCTCATGCTGTTGATCACCGGATTGTCTGGTCCAGACTCGTATACTAACAGACCGCCATCATACAACAGGAATACTGCTTAAACAACAAACAAACCATACCCTTATGGGAGCTACAAATGATAGCTACATGTTGGTAACCGAAAGACAACATTGCCGGATCCTGCCACACCACGTGATCATGTTTCAGATGATATGCCGACGCCTCGTCTGCTGAAGGACATTAAGGATGTTCTGTCCAAACTAATCGACCTCAATGACTTTGGGAGAGGCCTGCAGACAGCTCTTACCATCATGAGTAAGTTATTTTGAAACCAAACCACTGTATGGTAAATATTTGACACGGAAACATGTCTTCATCACCGGAAAGCTACTGTTTACGATTGTAGACTTTAAATGACGCCATTGCTTCTGTTATAATAAAAATTATTTCAGTACTTCAGTTACAATCACTATCATCGATGTGTCTGGCAGGCAAATGCACATGTTCACGTCACAGTATCGATGTTGCCTTTTCCAGAACAGGAATCGGAAACAACTCAGCAGCTCGGTCAGGGATCTGTAGCTCTTACCGAAGGTCAAGGTCAAGATACAACGCAAGCTGCAACAGAACAGGGCCCTGACGATGAGGAACCACTTCAGGAAGATGAAATTGATGAAAGAGGGAATGAGGAAGAAGAAGAAGAAGAAGAGGAGGATGGTAGGCTAGCAAAGGAGGTGACGAGGCTCTTGAGGAGGTACATTCTGGAGAGAGACTCTCAAGTCGGTGATGCGGGATCTCAAGGGTACTCCAGGAGGAGAAGGTCTGTCCTCCGGTCAGTGCGACTAGCCAGATACATCTTGTACACTGTCTAAGGTGCACTTTTGTACCAGCTCACCCACATTTCACCAGAGTGATTAAGTCATTGAGTCAAGCAATATTTTAGAATTGTAAAACATGGGATGAACCTATCCAGAAATAAATGATAATATGTATTTTGTGTTTGTCATTTGTATCATTATTTTGAATGACTGATGGTTTAAACTCCGCAGCTTTATGCCAACGCATTATACATGTTATACATATAATGTGTAACTATGGTATATATAATACTAGTATGTGTGTCATCGGTGAATTAATGTTAGTATACGGCACAAAGGAGTGCGTGTACTATACTAAGGCTTACATATACGGCACGAAGGACTGCGTGTACTATACAGAGGCTAACATATACGGCACAAAGGAGTACGTATACTATACAGAGGCTTACATATACGGCACAGAAGAGTACGTATACGGTCCAGGGGAGTACGTATACTATACAGAGACTTACGTATAAAGCACCGAAGTGTACGTATACTGCACAGAGGAGTACGCACAAAGAAGTACGTATATTACACAGAGGAGTACGTATATGGCACAGAAGAGTACGTATGCGGCACAGAAGAGTACGTATACGACACAGAAGAGTACGTATACGACACAGAAGAGTACGCATACGGCACAGAGGGGTACGTATGCGGTATAGGGGAGAATATATACGGCACAGGGGCGTATTCAGGAATTTAGACCTCACAACTCGCTGGGAAATACACCTGAAGGACCGTGTAGGCGATCAACGTGCTATTGTTCTGTGGCTGCGCCGTTCGAAGAATGGTGGGTTGGAACTTGCACAACGTCACACTTCCCGAACTCTGTAATGAGGATAATCAGTGGGATAATTTAGGGGTCTGAAGGTCATGAGAGGGGCAATGGTCACTACTGTCACCCTCCTTGGTCACGGTTACCATAACATAAACACTAACCACTGCAGATCACAAGGACTAAGTTGTTATTGCACGTTACAATTAGCGATCCCCTTGAGTGACTCCAGACAATATATACACAAAACCGCGCAGTGAAACAGGCCGTGAGACTTGTTGGGGTGTAGGGGGATTGGGCTTCCCCATGCGTCCGCTCCCTCATTATAGGCAACACTGGATTGTGTTGAGCTTCTAGGTAAGGCATGGAATCCTGGAAGAGACATTGTGCTGTCGTCAAAACAAACACGAGCAAAAAGTCGCACTTTGAATATAGTTTTACTCAACGAAAGCACAACAATGCGACAACGCGAATGTTTTCAAGGTCAAAATATGTCGCGTTGTCACATTGTCACCCCATCAAAAATGTGTCAAAAAGCGGCAGATGCGAGACATTGATAACGTCGCTATGTGACCCTTTTCGATCTACGTATTCGCAGAAATACTAGTAGTTAATATATGCTTTTCAAAACTCTTGTGATCTTTGATTGGCCCCACCGATTCTATCATCCGTATCGCAACGACGATAGGGGCTTCCAGACATAATTACAAGTCTTAATCGTTGCATTGCAAATTATTTCATATATATGTATCGCATTGTCATGCTTTTGTAAAATTGAAATACAATATACAAAATGAAATAAAGTTATTATTTAAAGTGCGACATAGCGAGAATGCACCTATGGGCAAAATGTCGCGTTGTTTCATTGTCGCATTTTGGTCTGTCAATGTTGACATTTTTTGCTGCTTTTTGTAAGGATTTCAGCACGACAATGCGATAACGCAACAACGTCCCTTCTTAGATTCCGCGGTAATTAATTACTGACTGAGTGCATATATTTCTTCATAATATTTATATTTTACCGGAATCTTAACAAACGAAATCCGTATATATGCACGTCGCTATGCATATAGTGTATCACGTCGCTGTGCGTAGTGTCTGTTGCTTGGGAGCATCCCGTGTCAAGAGGCGCAGCATTCACGCCCATTTAACTTACCTGTATAGTAGGGCTGTAACGATGCATCGAACTATCGATGGATTGCAATTGTTGCAATGAGTCTCCAATAGCAATTAATCGATGGTAGAAAAGAAAAACTATCGATGCGTCGATAGTATGTGTGACTATTGATAGTTTAGTAATTGATGGTTGTTTGTTTTAATTAACTATTAGCTATTAAAACTGTTTGTTTTGTATTTTTGGATTGTTTGGGTGCAGACTTGCAGCTTCATTGAGTTTATGTTTTAACTGTTTACTTGATCTGGGTTTCAAGTTTCTTGTCAGTTATTAAAAGAGACTGAACCTACTTAAACTTGTTTTCATTTCACATAAACAGTACATTCATTTGGGAAATGACTTCAAATAAGACAATTAAAAAAGTATTCCCTCCCAAGCAACGTTTTACCACATGTTGCACAAAACTATAAGTGGTTAAAGCGTTTGCACTTTACGCAAAAGACCCGGGTTCGATTACCCACATGGGTTCAAAGTGTGAAGCCCATTTCTGGTGTCCTATTGCTGGAATATTGCTAAAAGCGGCGTAAAACCAAACTCACTCACTTAATCACAAAACCAAACTGTTTTCCCATAGGCTTCCATAGTTACGTTGTATTTCTTAAAATAACCAGACCCTTAACAGCGATTGCATGTACATATATGCACAATGTCACCTTAAAGCTGCAATTAAAAACAAGTTTTGGATTGGTTAACCAATTCCTTTTCCGACTACAGGAAGCTGAACACAGCAACCCCAGTTCCGCACCAAATGTCACCTGCTTGATATCACTGCTCACATTCAGCATAAGTCATCCTGTTAAAAAAGACAGCACCTAACACTGAACAGATATGGTCAGGTTTAATTACTGGATGCATTGAAACAACACAAAAAACATACACAAAATCATACGATCACATCTGTCAGATAATTCCGTCTACGTTGAAGGTTCCTATGAAAAGTGCTTGTTATATACTACGGAATCTGATTTGGTGAAGTATAGCCTCTTATAGCATTCTTTCGGTGATAGTCTAGATTTTCCTACAGTAGAGCAGCGTCCAATAGCTTAGTCACAATATCAGTTCCGCGAGTTCACACTTCTTCGAGCGATACTGAATCTGTAGGTCAGTCATTTCATTTTTCCGATAGCCCACCTACCAAATATCAAATGACAAGACTTGCCTACTATACGGGTTAATGGGATAGGGTACGCATTCAGCACTTACATGTACTTCGTCAAAAATAATTATTTTATTATTGTAAAACTGCCTTTCCTCATATTGTTACATACGGTACAGAACAGCTTACAAGCGAAGTTCATTACCACAGTCATGTATATAGGTCACGGTCTTCTGTCATAGTTCACCAAACGTACATACAGCATGCTTTACCATGCAATTTAAGCGTCTATTCCATTTTCATCTAGTTCTGTATCGATAGAAAATAGTACATTATCAGTAATTTAACTAAGTTATTGTTTTCTTTAGTAGTTCACTAAGATGTACCTTCCAATTTGTATTTTTAAGACCTTATGGTCTCTGCTACATTAGCTCCGTATATATCGAAAGTACACGAAGCCAATAGCAAAATTGTCGTCAAAACACATTTACTGTGGTCACCTAATTAAATAATCCATAATAAAACCTTCTATTACTGAAACTACAACTTAGGTATATCCTCTACCATGCTTATATATGGTTCATTATCTACCAACTATGTATATTTGTATGTTATGTCTTGCTTGAATAAACCTAAGGAGCTCACAGCTCTCGCATGTCTTATTTCTAGGCTCGCTCACAATAACTAACTGCCCTGACTGTACCTTTAGCTCAAGTAGCTCAAGGCTGTCTTAGTGTTGTAGACGGTTGTATCGAATGATGACCACGTGACCTGTAGAGGAGTACATACGACCGAGAGGTGTGTGGTAAGTATAGAAAGAACAGCCTGTATAGCAATTCCCGAACGCAAACAAGCCAAATTCACAGTTGTTATCGTGTTCATGAGATTGAGAAATTTAGCGTGAGTCAGTGGGAATACTGAGCTGTGGGCACCCACCTGGATGTTAATCACACCTTTTCATGACAACAACAATTGAACACGCCCTTATACATCACCAGTCACTGTCCCCTTCCACCTTCTCAGATATCTTAGACTTGTCACACTGCTGTGAATAAACACAATACAGACTGAACATTCGACAACTCTATGTTTGCAATAGCTAGATTAACACGACGCTGCTTCATGGTGTTATCAGTAAAACGCTTGTCTCGAAGTCAATATTCAATGTCCAGACATTTTCGAGTGCTGTTTATTAAATCTTCAGGACTATTTGCAGCAGGGTATGTTTATGTTTATGGCTGTTTACACCAGGTGTATGTGTACAGGTCTATATTTTATACTCGGAGAGACAAGTTATCAGAGTTTGCATCTTGTTGTTAATAGATGTAATAGAACCATGACTACTGACCGCGTTTATTGACATGTTTTATCATTGCTGACCAAGCTTGTTTCCGGCACCTATGTTATCGTGTTCCAATATTCACTGTACTGATGTCCTGTTGCATGTTTGTTTACAACTTCAAGGGCGAGCATTCCACAGCCACATGGAAGTGGTAGGGTAACTTGGTGTGCAATATGTAGACTTTATTCGGTGCAGATGTGATACGCAGTTAGAAGTTATATCTTTTAAGTCTCTGGGGTGATGAGATGGCTTGGGGAGGATTGGAGAGTGATATTGGACAGGTAGTGAAGGGGTGGCGAGGTGTTCTGGAGGGTGGGCGAGTGGTATTGGACAGGTAGTGAAGGGGTGGCGAGATGTTCTGGAGGGTGGGAGAGTGGTATTGGACAGGTAGTGAAGGGGTGGCGAGGTGCTCGGGAAGGTTGGAGAGTGGTATTGGACAGGTAGTAAATGTGTGGCGAGGTGTTCTGAAGGGTGAGTGAGTGGTATTTGAGACGTAGTGAAGGAGTGGCGAGGTGCTCTGGAGGGTGGGAGAGAGAGGGGTATTGGCGAGGTGCTCTGGATGGCGGGAGAGTAGTTTTGGGCAGGTAGTGAAGGGGTGGCGAGGTGTTGTTGAGGGTGGGAGAGTGGAATTGGACAGGAAGTAAAGGGGTGGCGAGGTGTTCTGGAGGGCGGGAGAGTGGTTTTGGACAGGTAGTGAAGGGGTGGCGAGATGTTCTGAGGGTGGGAGAGCGGTATGGACAGGTAGTGAAGGGGTGGCGAGGTGCTGGGGAGGGTGGGAGAGTGGTATTGGACAGGTAGTGAAGGGGTGGCGAGGTGTTCTGGAGGGTGGGAGAGTGGTATTGGACAGGTAGTAAATGTGTGGCGAGGTGTTCTGAAGGGTGAGTGAGTGGTATTTGAGACGTAGTGAAGGAGTGGCGAGGTGCTCTGGAGGGTGGGAGAGAGAGGGTATTTGAGGTGCTCTGGATGGCGGGAGAGAGAGGGGTTTTGGCGAGGTGCTCTGGAGGGTGGGAGAGAGAGGGGTATTGGCGAGGTGCTCTGGAGGGTGGGAGAGAGGTATTGGACAGGTAGTGAAGGGGTGGCGAGGTGTTGTTGAGGGTGGGAGAGTGGAATTGGACAGGTAGTAAAGGGGTGGCGAGGTGTTCTGGAGGGCGGGAGAGTGGTTTTGGACAGGTAGTGAAGGGGTGGCGAGGATGTTCTGGAGGGTGGGAGAATAGTATTGGACAGGTAGTGAAGGGGTGGCGAGGTGTTCTGGAGGGTGGGAGAGTGGTATTGGACAGGTAGTGAAGGGGTGGCGAGGTGTTCTGGAGGGTGGGAGAGTGGTATTGGACAGGTAGTGAAGGGGTGGCGAGGTGTTCTAGGAGGGTGGGAGAGTGGTATTGGCAGTAGTGAAGGGGTGGCGAGTGTTCTGAGGGTGGGAGAATGGTATTGGACAGGTAGTGAAGGGGTGGAGGGTGTTGTTGAGGGTGGGAGGAAGTAGTATTGGACATGTAGTGAAGGGGTGGCGAGGTGTTCTGAGGGTGGGAGAGTGGTATTGGACAGGTAGTGAAGGGGTGGCGAGGTGTTGTTGAGGGTGGGAGAGTGGTATTGGACAGGTAGTTAAGGGGTGGCGAGGTGTTCTAGAGGGTGGGAGAGTGGTATTGGACACGTAGTGAAGGGGTGTCGAGGTGTTCTGAAGGGTGGGTGAGTGGTATTGGACAGGTAGTGAAGGGGTGGCGAGGTGTTCTGGAGGGTGGGAGAGTGGTATTGGACAGGTAGTGAAGGGGTGGCGAGGTGTTCTTGAGGGTGGGAGAGTGGTATTGGACAGGTAGTGAAGGGGTGGCGAGGTGTTGTTGAGGGTTGGAGAGTGGTATTGGACAGGTAGTGAAGGGGTGGCGAGGTGTTCTGGAGGCTGGGAGAGTGGTATTGGACAGGTAGTGAAGGGGTGGCGAGGTGTTCTTGAAGGTGGGAGAGTGGTATTGGACAGGTAGTGAAGGGGTGGCGAGGTCTTCTGGAGGGTGGGAGAGTGGTATTGGACAAGTAGTGAAGGGGTGGCGAGGTGTTCAGAATGTTGGGAGAGTGGTATTGGACAGGTAGTGAAGGGGTGTCGAGGTGTTCTCGAGGTGGGAGGAGTGGTATTTGGACACACGTAGTGAAGGGGTGGCGAGGTGTTCAGAATGTTGGGGAGAGTAGTATTGGACAGGTAGTCAAGGGGTGGCGAGGTGTTCTGGATGTGGGGAGCGTGGTATTGGACACGTAGTAAATGTGTGGCGAGGTGTTCTGAAGGGTGAGTGAGTGGTATTTGAGACGTAGTGAAGGGAGGCGAGGTGCTCTGGAGGGTGGGAGAGAGAGGGGTATTGGCGAGGTGCTCTGGAGGGTGGGAGAGAGGTATTGGACAGGTACTGAAGGGTGGTTGTTGCGAGAGAGAGGTATTGGACAGGGTGGCTAGGTGCCCGGGAGGGTGTTAGAGAAGTGTATTTGACAGGTTGTGAAGGAGTAACGAGATGTTAAAGGGAGAATGAGGGAGATGGGTGGGCAAGTAGTGAAGAGTGCATAGATTTGGTTTTGGGGGTGGAGACGAGGAGCCAAGTATGGAGTGAATGGTGACAGAGGTGAGAGAGAGGTTAATACGAAGATCTATACATTTAGGTGGAAAGCAATCCATAGCTTGTCGTCAGCAATATATTGTTCGCGCAAGTCAATTCAGTGTGCTCACTGGGCTATGGCATTCATCACAACGTCACAAAAACAAGTCTATCGTGACTCGTCAGGCACGACACAGAGACGTTGGCATGACATCACAGTCTTGGAAGGTATATAAACCCGGCTCCCTGCTAGTCGGGATCAGTCAGCATGAATACTCTGGTTGCCATCGCTCTACTTCTCGTCGTCCCAGCCCTGTACGTCCAGGGTGGGAACATCCAGGTAAGCGATCTCTACTCCTCCTTCCTTAGTTTATCATCAAGACATGCAGGTTTATTCTATATCGCCATACCTGATATTCACCTAGTTGTGAGACAGCCATCTGTATGCTAGACTTTCCAGGCCCATGGGTAAATAACGATTCCAGAGACGACCTCTCACCTTCGCTGTATCCTTGTAATGTCTTTGATTCGCTGGAAAGGTAGTTAACGTGAAGGGTCGTGTTTAATCAGTAAGAATCCTGCCTTACGACACGATACCAGGACCGTCAGCACTGATGTATGTAGTGAATGTAGTGTTCGTGTGTTCAGCGTCAATGCACAACTTGGTAGTTTGACATGTAAAGGCTGAACATGTTTCAGGTTCAGTAAACACCTTTTGGGTGTGTGCATACCTACAAACAATCTAGGTTTATTTCTCACAGTGCACTGTTATACAGGTTTGAATACATCTTTGTAACTGTCTATGTCAATCGAGTTGCATCCCTTAGCGTAAGCAGGTTCTAATTATGGATCTTGTCAACAGCAAGTACTTATCCTTTGGGGCTTTCCTGGGGTGGAATATGACCGAAACACTATTTAACGCAGAATACTCACTTTTTAAACAGCGCTCTGATTCACATCTCCTGTTGTTGGGCATAACAAACAGAAGAACATGTGACCTGATGTCCTGAAACTAGGAGCGTGTCTACGACTGTAATCAATAATCGCTAAGTATCATTATGATCTGAATGTTAGATCGCATTGCAGTTTTATGGAGGTCTGAGGTTTACTGTCTTCTATCCTTTGCAGACGGCTCCACCACCGGCTCCAACGACTCCACCAGTGGGGACTGGTTCGCCACAAGGTGGCAACCCTCCAAACCGTGAGTATTCGTCCGCCGCATACTTGCTTAAACTTCTTTGAACCGTGAGATTATGAAAAGTTCATCCGAATTAACAAGCGACTTTGCACATTACCCCGCGCCTCTGTTGGATGATAATTCCTCCTTTGGGAAACCGCATTTTATGCTTTTGTCTTGAGATGAATTGGTACAAAAGCATACTTAGGAACACTTAAACCACACACTTGTCGCTTTTCGATATACCGTTGTCTTGAGATGAATTGGTACAAAAACATACTTAGGAACACTTAAACCACACACTTGTCGCTTTTCGATATACCGTTTTCTGAAGGCTTGAGAACGCTAGATTAACTACAGTTAAATCTATGAGACCTACCTGGTGTAATGACAGTTTCTAAAGTGGGTGATGAGTGAATCAAGTTTTACGCCGCAATTATTCAGCCATATGACGGTGGTGACTGATGGTGAATATCGGGCATGTTTACACACGTATTAACAGGCAGCTAATGAGGAGTTGCTATACCATCATATCGATGTCAAGAATGAGATGGCACACTATGCGCCTCCACCCTGGAGACAGGCCTCACTGTTGTACGTGAATACAGGGGGTAGCCTAACTTCACTTTTACAACGTCACTACAGAGATAACGTCAAGCAATGCGTTTACATAAAGCAAGGTCGTCAACAGCTGAGTCGGTGTCCTCTGATTATATACCCAGTCTTTGATCCCATTCTTCTTTAAAGGAACATGATATATTTCCCAGGCTGGGAACGACACTACATTGTCCCAGCGTCACGCCTTCGTGGCCACGTGTCATGCATACACACGTGGAATGTTGCCATGTTGTGACTGTTATTGATAATGCTTATAATCACTGAATAGAGCTGGCTAAACAGATCGCTAATCGGACATGTCGTCGATGGGAATCCATATCAATGATTATCGATATGAATATTGTGTCTTCGAAAATATCGTAAATAAGATATAGTGATGAAATTGAGTTTCGATTAACTCAGACAACAGACAAGGATAAGTCAATGGGCTGCTTCTAAATTATGTTCAGGAGGGTGTTTTTTGTTTGTAATCGCCTATATCTGTCACTACTCAATGATGTGAAAAATGTTGATTTCTTTAAGATGTTTTGGTTATTTTGGCTCAAGGTTACTTCGTCGATATTTATCGATTAGGTTAAAGATTATGGATCTCTATGATCTATATCGATAACCAGCGTTATTAATGGTTGTGTCGGATCCTCTGCCATCTCCACGATGGCGGAATGTACACGTCTTTGTTGACTGGATGTTAAAATCAAAACGCACTCCAAATGGATTTCAGAATGATCTTGTTATATCTTTAAGAATGTGACTTGTGTACACGTGTGTGGAAGATAAACTGTTATTTGCACTGTAAGACAGCCACATTTAGTACTATCATCCACACACATTTCGGTCACTGAAATTATGAATACATACAGCGATAAGGAAAGAGGTCAAATGTAACATATTTGGGATTACACTTTCGCAGTACAGACTCTAGGGCTTTTATAGGCTGATTCGAACCCACATTCTCAGAGTCAGGCATATGTAATCAGCAACCTTTCCCACTCGGCCACCGCGGATTCCACAACAATCGGCCGCCATATATAGCATGACCAGAAATTATTGAGAATTTTAGGAATATGTCTAATTGGATTTCTAGTATAAACAACCTTGACCAGCTATCAAGTGCTTGGTTTCATTCAAGAGAGACAACTCCGTTAATCCTTTTTCATTAATTTGTGAAGAGTTATCCCCCTTTGTTTACTTGCTAGCAGACGACATTTTCAGTGATCCTCAGGATGGATGATTTAGAGAAGGGGAAGTTGATTTTAGAGTATTATAACAAGGACATCAGATCAGCTAAAGTGATTTCAAGTAGAACAGGCATCCCCTTGTCCACTGTTTATCGTGTTTTGAAAAATATTGCAAATGGATATGGCATTGCAGGGGCGGAAACAGCTTTTTGAGAAAGGGGGTGCACACTATAGAGAAAAGGAGGGGTGCACACTTCATTTTCACCCGAGTTTCAATGGTCATTAAAAACAAATTTTCAGCACAAACACACACACACACACACACACACCCATCTGGGTCCGCCTATGCATTGAGCACCAGGGAGGCGCAGGTAGGCCCAGAAAATTTACTGTCTGTGACAGGAGGCGGCTTGTTTATTCTTGTTTCTAAAAACAAACGAAGGAGTTTAGAAAACGTAAGGCTGGATATGATTGATAGAGGAACTGTGGCTGTCTGTAAGGAGACAATTACAACTGGGCTGCATGCAATGGGTTGGCAGGAATTCCAGCATAGAAATTTTAACTGGGACAATGTGATTTTCTCAGATGAAAGTTCTGTGTGGCTGTTTCCTAATACACTGACCAAACAAACTGAAAAACCTTTGTATCAGCGCCCAAAGTACAGTCCGAAATTTAACGTGTGGGGTGGCATATCTGTGTTAGGGGCAACGCCCCTCTGTGTATTTGAAGGGAATATGAACAGTGAGCGGTACACAGATATTCTCGAGGGACATTTACTTCAATCTGCTCACGTGTTCTATGGAAATGTTTGGATTTTCCAGCAGGACAACGACCCAAAACATCGTTTAAAGCTTTCACAGGCCTGGGTTCGGACCCAAAATATGACATTATTAGATTGGCCAAGCTATAGCCCTGACCTAAATCCAATAGTAAATGTTTGGGGACTTATGAAGGAAAGTGTCAATAAGAAAAATCTGACAAATATTGCTGAAATGAAAGAAGAGGTGGTCCGATATTGGGACAGCATGGACCACGACTTTCTAGCTTCTTTGATCAGTAGTATGCCCCGCTGCATTGAAGCCTGCATTGCTGCCCATGGTGACTTGACAAAATACTAACTGTTCACCTGTCTTTGAATCTGGAGTTATGTTCTGCTAATATTCACATTTAATACGTGAGTAATGAGTGAAAATTTAAAAAAAAATTACAATCTTTAAATTCTCAATAATTTCTGGTTGTACTGTAGCTGGAATATCGCTGAGTGCGGCGTCAAACTAAACTCACTCACTCACTCCACAACAATGGACGTTTGGGAACTGGTTGTCTTGATCACGTGTTCTTGGTACCTACCTGAAAAGTGTAAATTGGCACGGTCCCGAAGCTTTGAATAAACGATGCCACTTTGAAAGTGGTCAAACGTGTTACACTGGAAGTATATTTCTAAATGTGCACACTGAATCGATGTACATTCGTTTGTTGTCCAAACAGCTAAACATATGTCCATGATGCTACTAATTGAAAAACAAAACATTTTGTAATCCCGTTACCATCGGACAGTGACTTTTTGTTGAACTAATGTTTATGCAGGTTTGTTAGAACCGTGCAAGGGGCCTTACATGTTTACCTTCATGACAAACGTCTAAAACATGCATCAACTCGGGACTTTTCGTTTACAGTGAGTGAGTGATTATGGTTTGCGCCGCTTTTAGCAATATTCAAACAATTTAACGGTGGGGGTCACTAGACATGGGCTATGGAAATCGAACCCGGTTCTTAGGCGTGACGAGTGAACGCTTTAACAACACGGCTACCCCACCGCCCCTCTTTAACAGCTGACACTGATACAGCTGAGCCCAAAGTAGCTTACACATCAGTAATTCTGTAACCTTGCAAGAGAAATCATCCCAAAATACAAATATAGTATCATGTGTAATCTTTGTGATATATTAGACGATAAAATCCCGTTTATCCGGATGCTAACCTACCTGCTGAAACGTCCGGATGAATGCATGTCTGGATTGACGAGTCATAGTTATGGAGTAACATCTTTAAATACATTTTTGATAACTCTGTAACTAGAATAATAGATAATGCAAGTTATGATTATCTGTACTCTGTGGAGAAATATTTTGGATTTGTCTAACATTCTTTGTACGTTCTTCCAGGATTTAGCCCCCATGCATTCATCGAGTTCATGAAAAAGCAAGCCAAACATGTCCTCGACTATGCGAAGGATTTGAAAGAAATCGGAGGGATCCTCGGTGCAGAACAGTTTGGTAAGTACAATCAAAACACAGCGATTATTTGACCGTAGACAAAAATATCTGAACTTTCTGAGTGAGTGAGTGGGTGAGTGGGTTGGTGGGTGGGTTGCATCGGCAATATCATGGCCATACAGCGAGTGTCAGTTTCAACTGTTTTTAGATATCAATAACATTCAAAACCAGTAGAGAAGCCATAATAAGGAAGTGAAGACATTCTTTCTGATTATTTCTTCTAAATACATCACTTCGAACATCCTGCCCACATTCAGCTGAGACGCTGAGATTGAACGGGAAAACTGTTCCAAGCGGCGTTGCACACTCTTTTCAAAGAATAATTGTGAACTGCGAGGGTGTGTGTGTGTGTGTGTGTGTGTGTGTGAGAGAGAGAGAGAGAGATAGACAGAGAGAGACAGAGCGAGTGTGTGATAATATTTGGCCACCTATTAGGATGCCCCCAAAATGGTAAATAACACATTGTGGGGTCATAACAAACTTCGAGCGCATTTCTATATACATGGAAAAAGGTATTGCAGCACCTATGATTTTTAAACTCAATATTTTCATTCATATTCAAATCATAATTAGCTTTGTGCCGAGTATAGTGCTAGACGACCTATTAGACACCGGTTCTAATCCCGAGAACAGAGTAGCACAACTAGCTTGGTGCCCGGCTCGACGTCGCTGGAATTTGATGTCATGGGGAAGATGGGGAAGGGTCCACTGGTCCACGTCATGGGGAAGGGTCCACTGGTCCACGTCATGGGGAAGGGTCCACTGGTCCACGTCATAGGGAAGGGTCCACTGGTCGGACGAAAGTCGATTTCTTTTGTCCATGACTAATGGTGCGGCTCGTTAAAGGGTACTGCACACTGGAAAATCTTGGAGCAAGTACCGTTTGACTGAGTTTCATTGATGGTGTTGTAGCGCCTTTCACATGACTATACTTGGCCTTGTGACGAAAATCAGATTTGCCATTTAATTGATCCGCACAGCAAGTTAAATGTCCGGATAAGATCCTTCGCTGTGATTCCTGGTAATATATGGATACTATGAAAATTATGGGGTGTTGCGATATTATTTTCCATTTGTGTATTTAGTCCCCACTTACGAAAAGCATAATATTCGGGTTATGTTCGCGCCTTGAATTGCAAGAGCTCCAGAGATTCGGGGACGCACTAAACATCTCCGTCAGTCCAGATTGGTCATGATGAGGCACCAGAAGGGGTGTGAAATTAGCACATACAGACAACACGAATTTGACAAATGTTTCCCCACACAAATACACACCATTAATGCATGCATTGAGCGAAAGTTGCTCCCGTGAACGTATGGCGGGTTTTCGAGGAATATATCTGGTCTGTCTTGAAGTACGAAAGCCTTTTGTGGTATATATTTTCCTGGTATGGAAAAGCGTTTTGATCTGGTATAAAATATATCGTGGAAAAGGTTCACTTTAATTTTTAGAATGTTTCATTGACTGTTTCAGACGAGGCGGCGTTGAACAAGAAAAAGGAGGATTTGGAAAATGTAGAAAGCGTCTTTGATTCCACTGAGGACTTCTTGCTAAAGGCTCTCTCTTCGCTCTATAAAAGTGAGACTCTGAGGTGGCTGGGCGGGCCGAAGGTCAGATGACGTGGCGGGGTGGGCAGAAGGTCAGATGACGGGCGGGGTAGGCAGGGGGCAGCGTGGGCAGGTCAGATGACAGGGCGGGGTAGGCAGGGGGCTGCGTGGACAGAAGGTCAGATGATGGGGCGGGGTAGGCAGGGGCCTGCGTGGGCAGGTCAGATGACAGGGCGGGTAGGCAGGGGCTGCGTGGGCAGGTCAGATGACGGGCGGGGTAGGCAGGGGGCTGCGTGGTCAGGTCAGATGACAGGGCAGGGTATGCAGGGGCTGCGTGGGCAGGTCAGATGACGGGCGGGGTAGGCAGGGGTTGCGTGGGCAGACGGTCAGATGACAGGGCGGGGTAGGCAGGGGCTGCGTGGGCAGGTCAGATGACGGGCGGGGTAGGCAGGGGGCTGCGTGGGCAGACGGTCAGATGACAGGGCAGGTGAGGGGGTAGGCAGGGGGCTGCGTGGACAGAAGGTCAGATGATGGGGCGGGTAGGCAGGGGCCTGCGTGGGCAGGTCAGATGACAGGGCAGGGGGTAGGCAGGGGCTGCGTGGGCAGGTCAGATGACGGGCAGAAGGGTAGGCAGGGGCTGCGTGGGTCAGGTCAGATGACAGGGCGGGGTATGCAGGGGGGCTGCGTGGGCAGGTCAGATGACGAGGCGGGGTAGGCAGGGGCAGCGTGGACAGAAGTGGGTGGGCAGAAGGTCAGATGATGGGCGGGGTGGGCAGAAAGTCAGGATGAAGGGGCAGGGTGGGCAGAAGGTCAGATGAAGGGCAGGGTAGGCAGGGGGCTGAGTGTCCAGAAGGTCAGATGACGTCTGCTGCGGGCGGGAGTGGGCAGAAGGTCAGATGAAGGGGGGAAGGGTGGGCAGAAGGTCAGATGACGGGGCTGCGGGGCGGGGTGGGCAGGGGGGCTGCGTGGGCTTTTGATGGGTAGTACATTTAAAATGCAAACGCTTCTTCCGGAAGAAAGCACTGGGGTCTCCTAGTGGTTTAAGTCGAAGATCTGACTTGACTACAACGTGTGTCGCCAATTTCCTGTGTCCCCGAAGCAATGTTCTGCATAATCACTTCGGAGGACACAGGAAACGGAGTCACACATTGTTGTCATGTGGGGAATCGAAGCCAGATCTTCGACCACTAGGCCACCCCAATGTTTTCTTCCGGAAGAATCGTTTGCATTCTAAATGGACTTCCCATCAAAAGTTTAGACTCACTAGTGTAAATGTAGCCAATTACTTCAGGCAACTGTATTAAACTAAATTTTGCAAAATATTCCGTACTGTTTAAAGGTACTGTTTACACATGAACTGATGTATTGTAAAACAAATTCGTACAGTTGAATAGATTATTGTAATGAGTTCAAGAAATGATAAAACCAAAGAAATGAAAATTGGCCGATTCCTAACAAAACTTTACACCAAAACACAGTTGTTCACATGCACGATATTTGCACATGGTTTTCAGCAATTCGATGCAATTCATCTGCATATGGTTTGCAGTTGGTTCCCCAGGTTAGTGGAGAGATCAATCTTCGATGAAACCATATACATACATATATACATAACAAATAGTGAGTGTTTTCAGTGAGTCTAAACTTTTGATGGGGAGTATATATGCTAACGAGTGATGTAGACATTGTGCTGCTATAACTCAATGCTGTGTTATTTCAGAGCCTGAAGGTGATGGTCCGGCCCCTCCTCCTATGTGTGGGAGTTTCGTGGAATATTTGAAAGACATCCATAAGGAAAGTAAGTCGTGAGAGTTATAGGATAAATTAGTTGCTCAGTATTACAATCTCGACTTTTCGTCTGGCTGAAGAAATCGCTCACTGAAGAAATAAAATATTCGCTAATGTGTGTTGATACTACAGTTATTGAAATATGAATATAAGAGCAGGATATTAAATAGGAATTGACGCTTGCCTATTATAGGGAAGTGTACATTATTACACTGAATAAAATCTTAATGGCCCACGCATGTACACACACGAACACGCGCACGCGCGCACACACACACACACACAAACAAACAAAAATCAAATGTATATTCGCTAATGCAAAAAGGAGATTGATTTTTCTTTTAATGCAATTTTCTCACAGATATTCCCTTTGATGAAAAAGTGGCAAAGGACCTGATAGCGGTCGACTTTGAGTGTCTTGGCGATAAGATCCAGGGAGCCTTTGACAAGTTTGATGAGGTTGCATCGGGTAAGAAATTAAAATATAATTGGTATCAGCTTGTGAGAAACGTGTGTCGCTCTCTCAATAACGTGTGTCCGGACAGCTTTTATGGTACTTATGTGAGGATCGATCCAAATTGACGCATTAGTGACATTAGATATGTTGATGCAATTCCCTATTTAGACTTGTATTGACATGTTCCTTGTGCTTGCTGATGGAAACTTGCCCGTGCATGTGTTTGCGTCCGGTGCCTACGGTGAGACAGGATGCGCTCTCCATTTCGAGAACACGTGATATCTGATAGTTATTCATAAACGAATGCTTATGATGTATATATTGTAGTTGTAATCGTATAATCGATGCTGCTTTCTAAGAAAGGTTCTTATTAATATGGAAAGGATTAGTCTCTTCGCTGCCAAACAGCACTGTGGGGAGTGTATGTGGATGATAAAACTATAATTAACTAATTACATCGCCTTGGAGAGTTGCATCCATGTTCGTGGCTTTAAAAACACTGTAATCTGTGAAACGTCAAAGAACTGCATCACTGGACTGTTTTACATACTCAATATAAAACTGAAATACTGTGAAACCAAAGTCGCTAACCCAAATGATTAATACTTGGTTTCTCTTGTGAGGGGTCGGGAGAGGTTATGAGTTGGGGTCAAGACTAACCAGTTAATGCATGAATAGTCAAGAAGCTGGTAAGCGGGCGACATGGGGATGTACAATTTATATGCGTCACTGGATATTTGAAGGTACTCCCAACCCCGAAGAGTTACTGGAGACGATTCTCCGCACCCTAGCCAGGATCACATCCATCAACCGAGCCGAGCGGATGTTCTTTGGAGCCCTAGTGAAAGTCTGTGAGTATAAGCATGCCCCTGCCATGCCACTCCTCACTCGCTAAGTCACGGGTGGACTCAAACAATAGCAATCATGCCCTTACGTCCAATTAGGAAGTCCTAGCTTAAGAAAAGCCACAGTTTTTCACGGCGTGCACTTAAGAAAATTAGACATAACTTACTTAGTTAGTGAGTGAAATATTTCCCTGTCATAACATGAAAACAAAAATGCCATAAAAACCGATCTTTCACATTAATATAATTATTGCTGATATATCGTACTTATGTTGATCATAGATGCCACTGATTATACTATGTGATCAGTATATAACTATATATGCACGCCCCGCCCCTGTATAATGCACCTAGCTCGTGAGTCATGCACAAAGTATAATACCACACTACACTAGATGTCAAAAGAAACGTTACCCTCCTACCTTTATGAAGTACTGAAAAACTATCAAAGATATGTTAGAAGGCATTAGTTTACAAGAAAGCTTTATAAAACAGCTTTATGCAAATCACGAAAAATATTTTCTCAAATGCATTCATATTTAGCTGAAATGCATCTTTTTCAGAAGATTTAAATTGTCCTATATTCGTGTCCATGCCGAAATAAACCAATAACAGTGATTTTGATGTCCAAAAGAAAGGTTGAAATAAAATTCTGCTTTGGGACAATGATAAACCATGTAAAGTCACCATTTTCAACTATTAAAACAAGAAACAACTGTTGTAGAGTGTGTAAAATTGTACAATAACCATTCCTATGATTTCAGTCTTTAAAAACATTTTCTACTGAATTGCATAAATGAAAACAAGTAAAACGTGTGTTTGATATTGTGAAAAAATGTTTAGGAACATCTAAAATTATCTTTGTTAAAGTTTTTGCTTGCAAAGTAACATTTTTCTATTTTCTGTGTACACATAGCAATATCAATCGCCAAAACGCAGCAATATTCAAGCAGTATTTGCATCCATGTCACAATGTAGAATGATTCTATGGGGTATGAAGGGAGCCTAGAATACATGATATGATACACAAGTACGAGAAATATGCCACGATTAAGAGCTAAAGAGAGAGAAAGAGCCATTGGGACGGTGCAGATGGGGTCGACATACAATGCTGTTGCCAACGCCCTCGGATGCCACCGTATCACGGTTATAAGACTTATTCAGAGCTTGAGACAGACTGGGGACCAAGAAGTGGACGTCAACGCATCACAACGCCAGCTGAAGATAGGTACCTCAGTCATTAAGGAAAGAGGGTAACGTTTATTTTGGCGTTTAGTGTATAATACCAGCACAATGCAATGCCAGGGGTATGTAGTTACTACTCTACCTTTCAGATCCAGAAGAGGAGGAAGAGGAGGAGGAGGAAGAGGGAGGAGATAAAAAGCGAGAGATGAAAGACGAACTGCTGAAGTTGCTGCTGAAGAGAGTGCTGGACAATGAACCAGCAAACAAACGTAGCTTTGGAGCTGTTCGCTCTCTCTTGGGCAGGAAGCACAGTAAATAGGTATATTCCATATACTGTTTCGTTCCTTCAAATGCCCTTTGAATTTCAGTAGTCCGTGCTGATTGCTCGTACTTAAAGACGTCTAAATCTATTGAAAAGTTAATTTCTTGCACTCTGAAATTAACAATTCCTAGTTTCATATTAAGAAACCAATTTCATGTAATTAAACATCTTATTCAATCCTTATAGATGTCTTTGTTCCACGTGTTTGTTTTAGAATTATTCAAATATCCACCCGTCACGAGGAAACAGTGAGTCTTCGTCCTGAAGCCCGTTCTCCATATGGGTTTCACCCTTGTAATTAGCGTCATGTGGTGTATTCTGATATAGTGGCTATTTGAGTATGGAGTGCTGTAAGGGACGTTTCCACGTTCTCACATTTTCGTGATCTCCAGCTTTGAAAACAAGGAAAATATATTCAAAGTACCAGAATTGCGAGCTTGCGAGACAGCTTTGAAAACAAGGAAAATATATTCAAAGTACCAGAATTGCGAGCTTGCGAGACAGCTTTGAAAACAAGGAAAATATATTCAAAGTACCAGAATTGCGAGATTGTGAGACAGCTTTGAAAACACGGAAAATATATTCAAAGTACCAGAATTGCGAGATTGCGAAAACAAATTTGGCCAAAATCTTTGCGTTCTGGGCCTAGATTTTCGAAGCTCTCTTAGCGCTAAGATAGTCGTAAGCGCCATACATTAACATTCACCAGGGAGACTATATAACGTTGTAGATTATCCCTGCATTAACTTACGACAATCGTAGCGCTAAGAGAGCTTCGAAAATCTAGGCCCAGGATGTTTATTTTCGGACCTAGTTTTTTGGCACGAATGCAAGGTTTAGACATGGTGAATCATCTGTCAATCTTGCCTCGTCAAACCAAGCAACACTTTTACACATGTTGCTATGGGTGGGTGGGTTGGCTTCAAGGCCGCTTTGAACAGTGAGTGAACAATTTAGGTGAGTGAGTGAGTGAGTTTTTATTAGGAATATTGCAGCAACATTGCAGGGGGGAGATACCAGACTGGGCTCTACCTATTATACCCATGTTGGGAAAGGAACCTTGAATCACTTGGCTAACCGACCTGACTTCCTTAGAGAAACCCCAGGTACCGTGCTGAAAAACATGAAAACATTATGGAGGCGAACCGGTTTCAGACAGTGTGAGGTGTGTGCTCCTGTGCATAGACCTCGGAGAGTCCTTGGATTAGTGACCAGATGTAACAGCTTGACTCCTGAGAGTTTCTAGGACTTCACTCCTGCCCCACACCGAAGCACATGTGATACATGTGGTCTCACCTTAAGCAAGTGAGTTTGTTCAAAACTGCCTCTGTTCACCAAGCAGAAAATGGGTACCCGGTGGGATAAGTCATGTGACTATGACCTTCTAGCGCTTCACAGACAGCTTGGGTTATCCCACGTAATAACAGTCAGATTGTGATTGTGCGTAGTTTTATTACATTTACATATAACTGCACAGGTAAACGTCGGAAATGCACCTGAACGCGAGATAGCCTTTTGACATAAAATTGAGTTTTAAAAATATATTAAAAGGATTCAAACTGGCTAAATTAACAAAGAGAAACTACAGACTTGAATTTCGTAGTTGGAACCAGTCTTCAGACAAAGACAGCTGCACCCTATGCCACCTGATCAAATTGATAAGAGAAACTTTTGTGCTTGCATATATACTGGGTGTCATAAGGGTAACCATCAACTATTAATGAGGATCTCAGAACTGAAACAGGACATCAACAAAGTGATGAATTCCAGTCTTTGTAAAAAACACCAGAACTGTCAGTTGACAGGATCAAATATGCCAAATATGCCTTTCCAATCATATATGTACACTTGTCACTCAAATAACTAAAGGGTTCATATCTCCATTTTTGCAACATGTATGATCAGTTGGCCGTGACAAAACTAAATGTAAGAGGTTATTGAATGTTCACATCACAAAGGGACTCAAAATGTTAGATATAGTTGCCTTTCATTGATACAAATCTAATGGATAAGGAGGATGTTGACCTCAGCAGGTATGTGGTAACCTCTTTGCAAATCTGTCATATTTCCCCATTCCATCACATACTAGTTTTACTGACATCAGCATAAATCATTCAAAATATTAGTAACAAATTTTGGAAAGACATGAAATAAAAATTTTGCTTAATTCAGGAAGCTAACTTAGAGAATATATAGTTATCAATTTCTAAATGTTTTAATTAAACTACATAAGTAGAAAAATCTGACACATAGTTCAGAGAGGTTTGGGGTCTTGTAAACCCAATTTCTGGTGGACCTGTAAATGCTTTCAGGTGGAAATGTAAACCTTATACTGGAGGGCTTGTAAACGCATTTCCTGGTGGTCTTGTAAACGCTGTCTATTGGCAATGTAAACCCAATTTCTGGAGGCACTGTAAAGCCAGTTTCTGGCAGACCCTGTCTGCAGAGCTTGTAAACTCAATTCCTGGCTATCTGTAATCGTTGTCTTGAGGGCTTGAAAACCCAGTTCCAGGTGGATCTGTAAACCCTAGCTTCAAAACACCTTACTTGATTGATTCTCACCACACATATTTTTTCACATACTTTATTGAAATATATCATACAATGATATGTTCAGATTGACCTCTTCATCAACATGTGCTAAAACGATGCTTTTCTCCGATATATCGAAACAATCTCGAAATGTAAAAACTAAAGTCCAGCACACGGAAAGTGTCAAAAGGGGGCGTAATATTTTGCAAATACTCTACATTTCTCATCAGATATTACAAATCAAAATTCAAAGTGGTTCTGAATATTAGTTGAAACACAAAACACTTGAAATGATTCAAGAATGAAATGTTGCACCCATGTCCAAAAATGGGTGCATTTGTTGATTTTATGTACTAAGATAATGTATTTGAATTTTGATATGATGTAGGCACAACAAATGGATTAATTTATGTATAATATTTCAAGTGTAAAGTATTCTAAATACATTATATATTACAATGACGGGATATATCATGATTACACTACATGCACTAAGAAACAATTGGAAATACAGTAACAAAATATGGAAATGTGGTTCATGATTTTGATAACAATTTGCATCATATATTACACAAAGGTTATAATTATATTTCATAAAATAAAACAAAAAACTTGCTTCATTTCAAATATGAACAAATGGTTGCTTAAGAGAAAAGTATTATTTTACATGATTTTCTTATGGGAAAGAATAGTAATTGATATTTCTTAAATAATTTGTCAGCAGCAGCAATGGGTTAAAGCTTGTCATCACCATAGTAGCACAGGCAGCAGCAGTATGGTAATCAGTAGTGAGGGAAGCCCTATATGTCATATCACAAGAAAGATCAGGTGCTGCTACTACAAAGTCAGCAGTTAATGTAGCAAACATGTTCAACCTCTCCTGAATAATAAATTCATATCTTATCGTATCAAATGTTCAATTCTTGCCACAACTCTACACCTAAAGTATCATAAAATTGCATCAACAGTCAGTTTATGGTGAATGAAATGAATAATTCTAATTGGACATTAAAGGCTTGAAAACCAGCCTTCTGATGATAAATACACATATTGAAGAATTATTGTGAAACCGAGCTGCCTTTCTCCCAATTCAGAGAGCAGATGACACACACTAATGTACATCAGTCACAGTTATACACAAGATAAAGTGGAAACTCAGGGGAGAAATAGTCGCGTGTTTCACACAAATATCAGTTAACACATTAATAAAAGTTGACTGCTGCAACAGAAGGTGATTATCAAATCAAAGTTTACACAGAAGTGGGAGACATCACTTCTGAAGTGATTAGGCCACAACAAATTGATTACTTTATCAAGGAAGTTCAAACAAATAATTTCTTGTCAAATAAACCCATTAGAAAGCGGCCACCAAAAAGGCTACTCTATATCAACAAGTCTGTCCATTCAAGAGACATGTTTTTCAGATATTAGTTGGGTTATGTGTAACATTCTACATAAAAACATATACTTTGTATATTATTGCCCACAGGGAATGTCAGTGTTGTGACTGCTCCATGTTATATCCAGATCAAGTAATTGACTTGGTGTGGCTGTACCCTGCTGCGTGCGATGAACTAGTACTGGACGGAACTCTGATATAAAGAAGTAATACACACAATATCAACAGCTAGGAAACAGCAGAACACCAGTGCAGTGTCTTCCAGTCAGCCAGGGAGGGCAGAAAACTTTAATTAAGTAATTGTGGCAATATTAATTTGCAAACAATGTGTTTTTTTCCATGAGAATAACATTATAGCAATGTTAAACAGACATATATTTAAATCATTTTGATATTTGTCTATTCAGAGTTGCATGTTTACATTAGTGCAAACATTGTTCTCGATAAGTCCAGCAATGGTTGGATGTGCTGATCTTGCCATATCACATTTTCCACAAGACACGTCTCAACATTTATGTCAATCATTTTCTCCAATGACAAACAAACACAGCTTCAATATCATATATGTGCCGTAAATAATCAAAGAAAGTTAACATTCATTATTGGCACTTTCTATTCAGCACAGATATTCAGCAAAGTGGTGTGTACTACCAATATAAATACAAGAGTATATATATTATATACAACAGATCCTGAGAAAGAGGTTTAGATCAACAGAAATATACATGCATAGTGTATGCTGAAGTCAAGACAAGTCAGAATAGGGTGATAAATAGATAAATACCATGAAATACAGCACTTAGTTTCCAACATGGTCAGCTCACATGTTTAAGAGAATACCCTTCAATAGCTGTAGCCAGTGTTACCACATTTCCCAGCCCACACTGAATACCCGCACTTTGTATGAACACCTTCAATAGTCTGTCTGAACACCTTTGATAATGTCTGAACACCTTCAATAGTGTGTCTGAACACCTTCAATAGTGTGTTAGAACACCTTCAATAGTGTTATCTGGACACATTCAATAGTGTATGTGCACACCTTCAATAGTGTTGTCTGGACACATTCAATAGTGTATGTGCACACCTTCAATAGTGTCATCTGGACACATTCAATAGTGTATGTGCACACCTTCAATAGTGTTGTCTGGACACATTCAATAGTGTATGTGCACACCTTCAATAATCATGTCTAAATTGCAGACAAAAGGCACAGTTGTCATGCTAGAGAAAGCTTTGGTATTCTGGCAGAGGAGAAAATGTGTCTGCTCAGACATACCGGTAGGTTATCAACAGCAAACTGGCCAGAGTCAAGACTCCAGTACACTCTTGTGAAATTTTTTTTTTCTCTTCAATTTAATACTTTTCACACAAAAATTTCCAACATCTCTGTATGTGTCTTGGTATCATATTCATGGCAATGTACCGTTAAAACAATCAAAACAATTCCCAACATAACCCAAATTATTTTTACCTGTCTTCAGTATTTAGAATGCAGAGAAAAATACATTCTGGTGCATGACTACCCTAAATAACACAAAATAACAATTTTGAAAAATAATTACAAACAGTCCACGTTTTTCTCCAAACAGCTGTAGGTCTGAAGCAAAAATTTCATGCCAGATAGAATATATGGACATAAAGTGATCAACTGGTTTAGTTGTCTAATGTTTTAATGATATTGGCCCTCATATTTGTATTGTCACTATGTTTTAGCCACATTTGAATCACGGTCATGGCTATGTAAGATCAACATGTTTCATTGGTTGACCTTTGATCATAAGGGCAAAGGTTATGCCTGTGTTTCCTTCATCACATGATCACCGTGGCAAGTGGATCCCTGTAACATGAATAGTCTCCTTCCTGTAGGAGCCAGGAATTGTGGGTAGAGCCTTACGATCTCGCCGAGGCTGTTGCTGGGGAGTACTGACAGCAGAGGAGTCTGAGCCTGCAACAGTGATAGGGATTACAGACTGCATAAAGGAGAAGAGACAAGGTACACATCACCTAATTTCACTCACAAATAAATGCTTTCATAGTGAAAAATAATAGACACATAATACTTTAAAAAATAGTGTTGTTCTCAGGACTGCTGCATCCTGGCCATGAATTGCTGAAATAAATATGAATATCGAGGTCCAATACACCATGCAGTTCCTTCCCTTTGCTTGCACATTACTCTCACTGATTTGGTTAATAACAGTAGGAAACTTGAAATGAAATTACAGATCTGTTTCACATCCAGAAATTCATGTGTATACGTGTGTATTTGCCTTGTAAAATAGCCAGACATTGCCATCAGCTGTTCACAAATCCCCCCCCATCTATGGAGGGTTTTGTTTTGAAAATACTTTTCATGGCCAGAATCATAATCAAAACAAAGGGTACAGCAAATGAGTTTATAGTGGTAAGAGACTTTGCAGGTCTTATGAGTAACTTTCGTTTCAAGGAGATTTCGTGGTGAGGTGTGATTTGCTGAGCAGCTCACATACAATTTCACCAAAATTAATGCATAGAATCTTGCAATCTTGAATAACATTATTATAATGCCTTGCTAATGGAAGTCCACACATACAATGAACACTTATATGGCCAGATGGGGAAATAACAGGACAAACATCAGTACTCCAGTTTATGTTTGTTGAGATGTTATTTCTGGGTTTATGTGCTTACAATAATCACTTTGGGTTGGGAAACAAAATCAAAGCTTGTTGTATGCGGGTGTTATTCTAGACTGTATACTAGAATATCCTGTTCATTTTTAATCTGTTTGATATTAAGAGCAATACCAGTGTAGGAAAGATGTAGAAAATCTAGCCTGTCCACAGGACTGGCAGGTCAAATTTTTTACCAGTCCTGCCAAAATCTAGCCTGTCCTCCAAATATAAATAAAACACCTTCGGCAGTAAATATTCAAAAAGGTTATAATCATTATATATATGTCATTGGTTTGCTAAAATTGACCCGACATGAGAACGACTAGATATTTTTTTAACCCATCCTCCACAAAATTCACCCGTCTCGGACGTTGGGACGGGCTATCTTTCCTACACTGGCAATACATGTATTTTGTGGTATTTTCATGAGCACATTGTATATATCAATTATCTCATATAGTGATTGCAAGTGATGGTAAGGATTTAATACTAATTCACTGGATATGAATTGGCGGAGATGACCATAAAACATGTAAACACACACAGCTGGTTAACTGATTAATAGGCATGAATGCATTGTGTGTTCTCTTAACCGCATATATTGTACATACAGTATATACATGGGATAACATCAAGATGAGTTCTGCCTATTACAACTGTACGACAGCTTGGTCGTCTTGCCTGAAGAGTTACCATGGTGACCACCTCAATCTGCTTCAAATTGGATGAAGGGATAAGGTTACCAGTATTGTTATTTTCAAGGAACATTTTATGTCTTGTTCCCCAGGGTTAAAAAATGATAATAATAGAAAATGCTATCATCATGCACCTTTTTTTCAAAAGCCATTGGCTGAGAACCAGTTCTATATCTTTTAAGCATACTATATGATCTAACTTCTCTGATAAACAATGTTGGACAGTTATTTGAACATATCCTCTAATACATATTTATGCTAAAACTGTGTTCTTGACACACAGCATAGACGCTACTGATGTTATTGTCATTTGGGGATTGGCATTGCTAGTTCAGAAAGAGTTGTCTCACCTTTGCTGCGACCAATGTACTTGTTGCTGCTTGTGGCTGTTGTCTTCTTAGAATTGAGACGCTGCAAATTTGAAACAGCATTATTTTATTACTTATGCTAAGCGAAAAATGATGGAACGCCATCGCCATTTAGTTGTTATTGCAGTATGGTTAAACATGATATGCATGTTATAATTTTATCAAAGGATAATTAGATATCATACATATTTTGAGTTAAGATGAGGTCAGCGGTGTGAAAAACAAATCCTAAATTCAAGATCTATTCATATTGAAATATATATATTTTTTAAATACATAAAGCTCACACCTTCAAAAATGTAAAGGTACCAGTGTATGAAATAAGCCAAAAACCCAGCTCGACATCTGGGCTGGTAACTTCAAAAACCTACCAGCCCAGAAGAGATTTAACCAGTCCTTTTTAAATACTAAATAGACAGTGCCAGTGGACATGTTATCTGAATATTTTTTTGCACCCATCCATCGGGCTGTCTAGCTATAAAATTAGACCGTCTGTCAGGAATCTAGCCCAGATCAGGCGGTCGGACGGGCCTTATTTCATACACTGAAGGTACCTAATAAAGAGATGAAACCACTATCAATCATGGATCTACACCTGAAACAGATCTGGAGATATGCGTCTACCTGTTGTGAATAGCTGCTGACAACATCAAAGTTGCGTCCTCGCTTCTTCCTCTTCTGGTCCACTTCGTTCCGTGACACCTTCCTGATTCCTCCTCGATACCGCTCCTCAGATGCCGAAATAACAGGCAGGGAAATGTCTGTATGTATACTGAGTTTCTCCACAGTCACTGACGAGATGTTGTCATCACTAGGTGGCGTACTTGTATGAGTCATTCCATCACCATACGTCCTGTTATGTTTTGCAAGACGACTTGGAGTTAAGGCCCCTGCATCACTATCATGACTCGGTCGGTAGAGAGGTCGTGACCCATGACCCTGTCTCTCAGCGTTTAGGTGATCGTGATGAGCCTTGGTCCTCTTTTTAGCTGCTAGTGCTGCAATGTTGCGAGTATTGCTCTGGATAACTTCTTTATCATCAAACGACTGCCGTGATGCTGCGACAGGATTATAGATGGTGCTGCTACTGTTGAGGTTCTCCATATACTGACTTGCTGTCCAGATCTGACTGAGACCTTGAAGATGCTTGGCCTTGGCACTTGGTGTGAAGAACTTATCATCGTCATGGCTACAATCACGTAGAAATGAGTGAGTGAGTGAATGCTACTAGCAATAACAAAAGTCACTCCACAGTATGACTGCACAGTATTTCTGGTATATTGGTATACCGCAATATGCATTTCAAACCATACGTACTGTAAAGGATTTTCTGAGAACTGGTATTTTGGGTTAAAAACATATATGAAGTTTTGTGATTATCTTTATAGTTTCAATTAAAATCTATACAGACTTTCATTCAAAACAGATGCTTTCTTTCGTTATTCAATGACAAAGTGGCGTACTGTACATACTCTAAATTGTATAACAAGACTATGCAACCTAATCTTTAGATAGATGTTTGTTGTCAGAACCATAACATTTATTTTAGGGACTTATAATGTAGAAAATAGGATTGACATGTACAATTTGTGGCACTTACTGTCAAACATTTAAGCTCACAATATATCCCGATATGTATTGCAATACAGGTGCTTGAACTGCAATACATGTATATTGCAATACAATATATTTTCCAATTCACAGCCCTACTCAACAGTTTACAACATGGAATTATTAATATGGTTCAAACCAGACTCATTCAACATCTGACTTATGCAAACATTGCATATGAAACATTGTAACATTTGAAGTTGTAAGTTTGGGGTAATGTATGAACAAATTTTAAAATGAATCTATAACCTACCCGCCTATATCTGTGAAACTGCTCACTTGTCTTGTTCCTGTTGACAGCGGCTGCAGACAAAGGAACAATGTCTACTATAAATGCATGTATATATCAAGTATTTCAGGTAAGACAAAGGAACAATGTCTACTATAAATGCATGTATATATCAAGTATTTCAGGTAAGACAAAGGAACAATGTCTACTATCAATGCATGTATATATCAAGTATTTCAGGTAAGACAGAGGAACAATGTCTACTATATATTGTATGTATATATCAAGTATTTCAGGTAAGACAAAGGAACAATGTCTACTATAAATGCATGTATATATCAAGTATTTCAGGTAAGACAGAGGAACAATGTCTACTATAAATGCATGTATATATCAAGTATTTCAGGTAAGACAGAGGAACAATGTCTGCTATAAATGCATGTATATATCAAATGTTTCAGGTAAGACAGAGGAACAATGTCTACTATAAATGCATGATATATCAAATGTTTCAGGTAAGACAGAGGGACAGTGTCTACTATAAATGCATGTATATATCAAATGTTTCAGGTAAGACAGAGGAACAATGTCTACTATAAATGCATGATATATCAAATGTTTCAGGTAAGACAGAGGGACAATGTCTACTATAAATGCATGATATATCAAATGTTTCAGGTAAGACAGAGGGACAATGTGTGCTATAAATGCATGATATATCAAATGTTTCAGGTAAGACAGAGGAACAATGTGTGCTATAAATGCATGTATATATCAAATGTTTCAGGTAAGACAGGAACAATGTGTGCTATAAATGCATGTATATATCAAGTATTTCAGGTAAGACAGAGGAACAATGTGTGCTATAAATGCATGTATATATCAAATGTTTCAGGAAAGACAGAGGAACAATTGTCTACTTAGAATGCTGCATAGGTCAAGTGTTTAACTGAAGACAAAAGCAATATCTACAATATATGCTTATATGGGTCATGACACTCTCCCTCCATCAATGAACAAATGTCTTCTTCAAGACCAGAGATTCCAACAAAGCTCACATCATGTCCACTTACAAAATACCATTAGGAACTGTTTTCCCCTACTGACCAAACACAAATCGTTTGGGTCAAGAAGTTTAGACACCAACTGATTTAAAATGCAAAGTGTAATATATTTTCACAGTTTTGTATACATGCATTTGCATTTGATCCAAAACATAAAATCAATATGAGTACTATTTCAAGAATTACTTTTGTTAGGTCTTGGCAGTTGTTTAAGTTTTCTACTATATAAAAATGGATTGGTCCTCTCTGGATGGTCAAATCTGAACGAGGAAGTACTTCTTCGTACCTTGGGTGTGTCTGAGTCGTCACCATACAGCACCTTATCCTCCTTCTCCACAGTGTACAGATGATAGAGATCCTCAAGCTCCTTCGGGCAGGTGACATTGTTATCTATGGAGGAGAGATATCACAGGTAAATATGCCGGTTACTCTTGTGCCAGTGGAAGGAAAGTGCAACAAGTCAGATGGTCCAGATATTCCACATGCACTTTTTTCATCATCAGTATCTTCAGTGATAATTTAGTCAACATCAATATTTTATGAGTAAAAGAATAACAGTTTTACCTGAATGCACAATCTCAAATCGTCATAAAAATATATATCCTTTATTACCATATATTTCATCCCTCCCCAAATTGCCTCCTGACTGATACCATGAAATGATTTCAGTGAAACTTAAACTTTGAAAATCAAGAGAGGTACAATACTTTATACAGTCTGTTAGATGGTGAAGGATAGCATTGGATCCCACAACTAGCTGACTGCCTCTGTACACACACCTGTGATGAGCCGTCTCTGCTGTTTGATGATTTCGTCACACAGGTTGCGGTGGTGTCTGAAGCGTGTGATGATCATGTCCTTCTTCTTAATGGTGAAGTCCCGCAGGAGGCAAGCTGACTTCACCTCCAGGTTCTCGATCTCAAGCGCGTGCACCTTGCACAGCAACTGCAGGATCTCCTGCTGGTCGTCATCCCCGATACGCTGGGGGATGATCTGGAACATAATCATTCAGGTTACCAAGAGGCTACTGAACACACACCTTGTCAACCTCTAGCCTGGAATGCTACTGATTATGGAGACGGTCTGGAAAACAGTGATGCATGTCTGCAAGAGTGTCATGGATCCAATTCTAGACTTAACTTGGCTTTGTTCCATGGTTGGTCAGTACAGCATAGCATGCATATGGTGAAAATAAGACAGCATTTTGAGCTTTATTCCAACATCAAACTTACATGCTGTGATATACTGAGACTGGCCAGAGCAGTATCACTTGTGATGTGGTTGATGATGTGGAACATGGAGAGGTAGGCTAACATCCTTAGTCATTAGCTACAGCTATTGTTTTTCAAAGTGATGTAACATGGTCACAATTAAAATTAGATAAGAGTTTTGTAATACATAAATGTAATTGGAGACTGCTAAAGGAGGATGTGATGTCTCAGAATAACCAAAATATCAAGTTTTGCCTACACACCTCCTCCATTTTCTTCATCTTGTGTTTGGCTGTCTCTAGCTCCCGCCTGACTGTTGACCGCACACGCTCTGTCTTGTGTTTCTCCTCGTGTAGCACCTTCAGCTCATCCCGAGCAACACGCACTTCATCTGGCTGTATGACATTGCCCTGGCTGTCCCGCTCATCTGGAAACACCGGTAGGCTCTGATAAGGTGCTACATAGACAATGATCTCACTATATTCAGGCATTGTGATGGAACACATGAGTGCCACAATAACTATTTACTGAGGCTACAGTATGTTTGATGTTAGTACCTTTGAACTTGTTGTCTGTGCTGTCACCATCCTCTCGCTTAGATCCTCGGCCTTCTCAACATCCCACCTACAACAGAGTCAGTGAGTCTGTCACCTCTATAAGTCATAATTATTTTCTTTCTATCCAGACAGATGACAATGTGTTAAGTGTACATCCTTATTTCCTTATATGGACATACTATTCACTAAAACATAGGCCTACCTGTGAGTACAGAAGATACTCTTTTATTGAAATAGAATGATTCCAATGATCATAGGTATAGAATACAAGGTGATGTAATGCTTTCTTGATGATCAGGTGTATTGATGAACATAAAGCAGTGTAGACTACTCACTCGCTGATGACAAGCTGGTTCCTGTTGGTCTCCAGGCTGATCTCCATGGACGCGTTGTTCAGCTCCATCAATGTCTTCCTGCAATACATTGTGCAGATTCACACAACCATTCAGGCTCAACTGCTAACTACTGAATTGTCAATTCTAAAAGAAAACTTCGCATCCATTCCCTCTATCCAAACAGCATCACAACATGGAATTTTATGAATGAGAATGATCTTTGAGGGAGACTTAACCTTAAAACTAAATGAGCAAAAGGTGATTCTTTTGTGGTCACATTACAGCTCTATGACCGACGTCAAATCTGGACCACAAAAAGTATGGAAAATAGAACAAGCAAACCTTGACTTCATGACTTACATCACAATGATGAAGGGTCCTTGGACCTATTCTGTTAGCTGAGTCATTTGCTGAGTCTTGCACTGATGTTCATATATTTTACAGCCAATAATGTTTCAGATATACGCATGACCTCACACAATTTATGTTCCTTACACAAGATATTTACCATACAGAAGCACACTCGTCTAAAGTCTCTACTTATGCTATGTAGTTTTGTGACTGGGTCATGGACACAAACCTGAGTTCCATCTGGTCCTTGAAGCAGGTGAGCAGTTGCTCTCGCAGCTTGGTCATCTCATCTCGGTTGGCATTACGACGGGCCTCAAGTACTTCCGCTGTGGAATACAAACATGTATAAGATGATTATCATATCATATTTTCATAATATGAAGTGTTAAGAGTTCAGTCAGACATGACATCCAAACAGTTTTTGCTAAGTGTGTGAAAGATACATTTTAATGTACATCTGTTCTTCATGAGACTGTAGTCTCTAAATCAAATTAACACAGATGGAATACTTCTAGATTTCTTGGAAAACTCCATGGAATCATGTTTACATGTTAACTCAGACAGAAACCTTCACTAGTGAAACTGTCAATCACAACACAGTTCAGGATTCGGGGATATATGGAGTTATGTCCCTTGAATACAGCTGATAGTCAGGCTTTCTGGACTAGACATACAGAGAGTACTCACACTGCACGGCCTGGATGTTGGCGTGGGTGCGGCTGCCACTGCCCTGGTCCTGCAGGCGGCTGCGGAGTTTGAGGATCTCATCACGCAGCTCCGAGATGATGTTGGTGTACTGGGCTATATGGTACGCCACATCAGTCACGTTGCGTCGCACCTGCATGCAACACAGTTAGCTAGATGTCACACACTTAATCATAAAATCATGAGTTTTCAGTCAATAAATTGCACAGCAAAATGTTAAGATTTGAAAAGATTTGCTTTCTATTGAAAGAAGACTTGAAGATGACTTGTATTCTCAATCAATACAGTTTCATATAATTTTGTACAGGAGAGGAAAGAGGCTGTTGCAGAATTTCTGCAGGAACCCGTTTTCATTCTGAAATGCACCTTATTTAGGCACACAGTTGAGGTGTGTCTTTACCTTTGTTTTGATGTGTTTGGCTCTGTCTGCATACACCAATGTGTTGCGTGACTCCTCAAAGTGCAGGCTGGCCGGGCTGATGTGTGCAATCATAACAGTCTTGCAGTTGCCACCAAGGGCATCCTTCAGAAGGCGAGTCAACTTACTATCTCGGTAGTTGATGTACTTGGGGCCATTCTTGTCACCTGCACAGTATAATGATCTCATGATGTGGCAGATATACAACCTGCTATTAAATATATGATATACTATTAATAAACGATGCTTAGCATTTCATGAACTGAATTCAAACTATGGTGTACAAAAATATTGTTTCATTTAGCTTCAATGTAGATAGCACAACTGACACATTAGAGATGAGAGTTAAAGATTCCATAAAATCCTATATTTGTGTCCGGTCTGTGACTTACTGAGAGCATTAATACAGTTGCCCAGGGCGAGTAGGGATCTGTTGATGTGAGCCCCCTCAACCATCCTTTTGCCACGGTTGTGCGTGTTTGCTGCACGTTCCGACCCTGCTAAATCAATGAGGAACAGTTTCCCAGTGCGTACTTCCTGCATGGTGTTGCGGACTCGGTTACGCTGCTTCACAATGACCTGAAGCACTGCATGGGACCGTGATGAAGTCTTATTGGCTGCGGTGGGCTCCTGTGTGCGCTCCTGATTCCCCTTCATCAACATCCTTATCACCTGACACAGTCAAACATTGCCCTTTAGTATTCATAGACAACACACATGGCTTTAATCATCATCAACATCCTTATCACCTGACACAGTCAAACATTGCCCTTTAGTATTCATAGACAACACACATGGCTTTAATCATCAACATCCTTATCACCTGACACAGTCAAACATTGCCCCTCATTATGGCTTTAATCATCATCAACATCCTTATCATGACAGTCAAACATTGCCCTTTAGTATTCATAGACACACATGGCTTTAATCATCATCAACATCCTTATCACCTGACACAGTCAAACATTGCCCTTTAGTATTCATAGACAACACACATGGCTTTAATCATCATCAACATCCTTATCACCTGACACAGTCAAACATTGCCCTTTAGTATTCATAGACAACACACATGGCTTTTAATCATCATCAACATCCTTATCACCTGACACAGTCAAACATTGCCCTTTAGTATTCATAGACAACACACATGGCTTTAATCATCATCAACATCCTTATCACCTGACACAGTCAAACATTGCCCTTTAGTATTCATAGACAACACACATGGCTTTAATCATCATCAACATCCTTATCACTTGACAGTCAAACATTGCCCTTTAGTATTCATAGACAACACACATGGCTTTAATCATCATCAACATCCTTATCACCTGACACATGGCTTTAACAGTCAAACATTGTCAAACCTTCTTAGTATTCATAGACAACACACATGGCTTTAATCATCATCAACATCCTTATCACCTGACACAGTCAAACATTGCCCTTTAGTATTCATAGACAACACACATGGCTTTAATCATCATCAACATCCTTATCACCTGACACAGTCAAACATTGCCCTTTAGTATTCATAGACAACACACATGGCTTTAATCATCATCAACATCCTTATCACCTGACACAGTCAAACATTGCCCTTTAGTATTCATAGACAACACACATGGCTTTAATCATCATCAACATCCTTATCACTTGACAGTCAAACATTGCCCTTTAGTATTCATAGACAACACACATGGCTTTAATCATCATCAACATCCTTATCACCTGACACAGTCAAACATTGCCCTTTAGTATTCATAGACAACACACATGGCTTTAATCATCATCAACATCCTTATCACCTGACACAGTCAACACATTCATAGACAACACACATGGCTTTAATCATCATCAACATCCTTATCACCTGACAGTCAAACATTGCCCTTTAGTATTCATAGACAACACACATGGCTTTAATCATCATCAACATCCTTATCACCTGACAGTCAAACATTGCCCTTTAGTATTCATAGACAACACACATGGCTTTAATCATCATCAACATCCTTATCACCTGACACAGTCAAACATTGCCCTTTAGTATTCATAGACAACACACATGGCTTTAATCATAATCAAGGGCAGCATGGCCAGCAGCTTCCAACACCTTCACTCATCATGAGAGATCCATTAAAACTTGCTGAAACTTGATGAAACCTGAGTATTTAGTTATTTTTCGGAGACAGAAAGATGACTTTTGACATTACACTATCAGAATAAAAGAACAACTGGTGAACCTGGAAACTATTCCTGGATAATGTATTTACACTTGATCTCCATCCTTAACAAAACAGACTTAATAACATCATATCTATACACCCATAAAGAGATAGTGACAAAGACATCATATACTTATGTTCAACCTTCTGGCCATCTGTTAAAGGGGCATAACCATTACAGTCTTATATGTCAAACCAGACATAAGTTTCAACAGCAGTGTTATATTTGTAGTCCCCAGCATGCAAATTAAAATACAATGAGTAACTCAAGTAACATAATTAAACCAACCTCATCTGTTGACCTTGCAGTGACCTCCGACAACCCTGCAACTTGAACTTGACCCCGTGAGTCTTCTCGAAGGTCAAGAATGCCCGATGAGGGATTTAGGAGGTCGCGGATCATCTCATTGTAGATCTAGAAGAAAGAAAATGAAGAGGCAGATGTCACTACAACCATTTCATATCTATATAACAACTATGTTCTATTCATATCATTACCAAATGAATGGACCGCCTCCGTGGTGTAGTGGTTAGAGCGTGCGCCCTGAGAGCGGAAGGTCGCAGGTTCGATCCCCTACAGTGTCATACCAAAAGATGTTAAAATATGGTACTTGTTGGTCCCTACCTGGCGCTCGACATTAATGGGTACAATAAGGACTGGTCAGCTCGGAGTCAGTATAATGTGTCTGAGTGAGGTATTCATGCTTCAATGCGGCATGGTATCTCAGTGAGCTAGCACTATAAAACCAGCTTAAGTCTGGGCTAGTACAAGCAGCCGCACATACGCACGCATGCACATCGTCATATGAGCGAAATATTCTCAAGCACGACGTTAAACCTAATTTCACCTCACCTCACCAAATTAACAAACCATTGATTCACAATAAAGACTCATTTACGTTCTATTAACATTCTGATTCTGAAATGACAATCATCAAATGGGTCCGGACTATACTGTACAGTGACCATTTCTGAAAAACAGAGTTTAAGATTATAAAGCATCAACATGAGCATTACCTCCAGGTAGGACATAGACACTTTGTAGGCCATGTCGGTGCTCGTCTTCTCCATCTCCTGGAAGAGATCATTCAAGGTGAGGACCATGATGCCCGGCTCCTTGTCTGTCCCCAACATAGTGTGCGTCTTCCCAGCACCTGGAACACACGCAACATCACTACAACAATATCGAACACATGTTTACATGAGCATTCTATACAGTGATTTTGGAGGGGTAGCCAAGTGTTTACCACTGATCACATCAACAGCTTGTATTAAATATACATCAATTCCTTCACTTCAATAGTACATCATTTCCTTCACTTCAATAGCTGAAGTCAAACTGTTATTAAATTGTTGGAACAGCCACCTACCTGTTGCCCCGTATGCGAACACTGTAGCATTGTAGCCTGTGACAACATTTGGAATGAGAATCTTTGTTGTTGCCTCATACACCATTTTCTGAAACATAAACATGTTGTTTTATTTTTTTGTTTGATGTAGCTATAAGTCCAGCTGTATGACTGCTTTCAGTCAATCATCAGGTCTGGACCAGACATACAGTGATGGATGCTATGAGCAATAATCTTGTATTTGTAGAAAACGTCAGTCTTTGTCAGTAATACACTGGTATTGTATGATATGTATGTGTACCTATAGGGATATGTAGTATTATGAATCCATATTACTACCTACTTACAGTATGTAGGAATACTGTATGTTACTACCCTACTTACAGTATGTGGGGATACTGAATGTTACTACCCTACTTAGAGTATGTGGGAATACTGTATGTTACTACCCTACTTAGAGTATGTGGGAATACTGTATGTTACTACCCTACTTACAGTATGTGGGGATACCGAATGTTACTACCCTACTTAGAGTATGTGGGAATACTGTATGTTACTACCCTACTTACAGTATGTAAGGATACTGAATGTTACTACCCCACTTACAGTATGTGGGAATACTGAATATTACTACCCTACTGTAGGAATACTGTATGTTACTACCCTACTTACAGTATGTGGGAATACTGAATGTTACTACCCCACTTACAGTATGTGGGAATACTGAATGTTTCTGATGCTGATCCCTGAGACCCGAACTGAGTGTGGTGATCAGTGAAAGGCTGACGTCAGTCCACGCACCTTGACATATTCATTAATACATTCATATCCAAATCAGTTCCACTCGTCATCCAACATAAGCTATTCATGATACATTACCACTAAGTACAAGAAGTTGATTTTACCTGTACATTCCAAACAGGATTACCTGACACACTGATTTACTTTGCCGCTTGTTTAATTACACTACAACTCCAGCTAACGCAAAGTGCCACATCTATTATTCTCATTACGCAACGCCACTTGAGCTCTGCTTATTGTGGTCTGTCAGGCCAGAAGGATGCTATACTCTGCCTCCCAAGCAGTATCCTTCACTGAATGGTGCTGTGGCAGGCAAATCTTATTATAAAAACATTGAATGAGCATAAATGTTAAGAAAACTTAAATGATTGCTTATTGACTATTAATGACTTCACAAAGTCATCGTGTCCTAGTTGAAAAAAAAGAAAGCTGTACTTGCTTCAAGAAGTAATTACAGAGCATGCAGCAGAAGCTCATCAGTCTGCCCTGTTTGACTGAGCGGAGTATGAACTTCATTAGTCCGGAGACCACCTCCGTGGTGTAGTGGTATGGTACTTGTTGGTCCCTGCCTGGCGCTCGGCATTAATGGGTACAACAAGGACTGGTCGGCTCGGAGTCAGTATAATGTGTCTGAGTGGGGTTTTCATGCTTCACTGCGGCATGGTATCTCAGTGGGCTAGCACTATAAAACCAGCTTCAGTCTGGGCTAGTACAAGCAGCCGCACATACACATACACACGCATGCACGTCGTCATATGAGCGAAATATTCTCAAGCACGACGTTAAACCCAATTCTACCACCACATCATTAGTCCTGACCTTGTCAGTCAGGACCTCAATAGTTTGGACTTGTTTGCTCAGGACCTAGTTAGTCCGGACCTTGTCAATCAGGACCTCAATAGTTTGGACTTGTTTGGTAAGGACCTAGTTAGTCTGTACCTTGTCAATCAGGACCTCAATAGTTTGGACTTGTTTGGTCAGGACCTAGTTAGTCCGGACCTTGTCAATCAGGACCTCAATAGTTTGGACTTGTTTGGTAAGGACCTAGTTAGCCCGGACCTTGTCTATCAGGACCTCAATAGTTTGGACTTGTTTGGTCAGGACCTAGTTAGCCCGGACCTTGTCAATCAGGACCTCAATAGTTTGGACTTGTTTGGTAAGGACCTAGTTAGCCTGGACCTTGTCAATCAGGACCTCAATAGTTTGGACTTGTTTGGTCAGGACCTAGTTAGTCCGGACCTTGTCAATCAGGACCTCAATAGTTTGGACTTGTTTGGTAAGGACCTAGTTAGTCTGTACCTTGTCAATCAGGACCTCAATAGTTTGGACTTGTTTGGTCAGGACCTAGTTAGCCCGGACCTTGTCAATCAGGACCTCAATAGTTTGGACTTGTTTGGTCAGGACCTTGGTGGTCTGGACTTAGTCAGGTCCTTGTAAATCTTAATGCTCTATGTGAAAATATGAGTGCAGCAAACTCTGCTAGGGCAGCAGGTTAACCTGTAGGAACAATACAGTGGAAGCTGAGCCATGGATATTATGGAATTGAAATCTCTTCCATAGACAAATCCAACATGCCTCAACACAATGGAAAACGGCAGGCAATTGTTGGTAAAGCGATCCATATATCAGGTGTTACATCAGGTGTTGGTAGCAACACTGTTAAACACTTAGCCAGCATAAACATTGTTCCCAATTCACATGACTCACTTTCACTGCTATTGTTAAGTGTAGCGTTGGCAGGTCAGAAACCAGTAAGCAGTTTTGTCCCACCAAAGGCAATTTCCGTTCCTTCAAATTATTTCCATTCAAAACAACAGTTCTAGTTTACAAAATACAACTATTAAGATATTTCATGCTTTATTGATCTGCAAAACTGGAAATTCCAGAGTTTAATGAATACCTAAGAATGATATCAAAAACCTACCATACCCAAACTATTATGAACCTTGCCGTCTAGTGACAAAATGTCATTCACAATTCAGCAATAATAAGGTAAGCATATATTGATCTTTGTTGTCATGGAAACTAACCTTCCAAATTATAAAAGCATCAGTTCAAACATTGAAACATAAACTTCATAAACAATCCTTATTTGGAAAATAGTATGTATTAAGATACATCAATTAAAACTTAATACATCCGAATGATATTGAAGCTTTATGGTCTATCAGCATTGTGAAGTTGCAATGTAATGCAGCAAGGAGGTAAATATGAAGGAAGAGTAAGTAATGTGATATGGAGAATCATCTATATTTGATGGCGTGAGCAGTCCTGTGGTATCTTGTGTCTCAGTGAATGTCACTACCGTGGGTAACAACTGCCACCGGAACTAACCGCAATTCATATGCAAATACAATGTATTTACATCAGCTGGAAGATTGATATAATTCTGGTAATAACAAAGCAGATATGTTTCTGAGTGAGCGAGTCAGACCCGAGACCCAACTCCTGGTATTTATACTCAATATATTCAAGAGCAGTCCATTGTACACTGTTGTCGTCAGTGTAGTTTGGTTTCCAAGTGTGGCCAAGATAGACGATAGTAGACATTGAGAAGGTATCCAAGAAAATCCTGTGGTAGACAGCATGAAAGAGTTGAAGCATTGCTAAACAACACTACTCTAGATCACAATAATGTGTGTAGGCTGACAAATTCAATCAAGTACTGTACAGTGATACTTCATAATCACACCATGGTGACCGGTATTGATTGCCTATATAGTTTAATAATCTGCTAGACATAATCACCATCAAACATTCTGTGGCTTTATCAAAGTGACTTTCTCTCTCCTCTATCTATTATTGGGGCGGTGGGTAAGCCTGGTGGTTAAAGTATTCGCTTGTCACACCGAAGACCCGCGTTTGATTCCCCACATGCATACAATGTGTGAAGCCCATTTCTGGTGTTCACCACTGTGATATTGCTGGAATACTGCTAAAAGTGGCGTAAAACCAAACTCACTCACTCACTCTAAGCATTGTTTAATGAATATAATATTGAACACAACTGTATGTATTTCATATACAGTGTTACAAACCCATGTCCAATACATGCTAACCCTCAAAACTCCAACCAGTTCCCCAACTTACTCCACCTTGTCGGTCCTTCCCCACTCAAGCATTAATCAATGTCATAGTTATAAAAGTCTGTATGAAATGTAGGATTCTTGTAGGAACATTGTATCTATTGATACATACTGGGACACAATGTATCCAGCCAACAATGATGACTAGTTGTGTAGAACACTGTATCTAATGATACATAATGGGACACAATGTATCCAGTCAACAATGATGACTAGTTGTGTAGAACACTGTATCTGTTGATACATACTGGGACACAATGTATTCAGCCACCAATGATGACTAGTTGTGTAGAACACTGTATCTGTTGATACATACTGGGACACAATGTATCCAGCCAACAATGATGACTAGTTGTGTAGAACACTGTATCTAATGATACATAATGGGACACAATGTATCCAGCCAACAATGATGACTAGTTGTGTAGAACACTGTATCTGTTGATACATACTGGGACACAATGTATCCAGCCAACAATGATGACTAGTTGTGTAGAACACTGTATCTAATGATACATACTGGGACACAATGTATCCAGCCAACAATGATGACTAGTTGTGTAGAACACTGTATCTAATGATACATACTGGGACACAATGTATTCAGCCAACAATGATGACTAGTTGTGTAGAACACTGTATCTAATGATACATACTGGGACACAATGTATCCAGCCAACAATGATGACTAGTTGTGTAGAACACTGTATCTGTTGATACATACTGGGACACAATGTATCCAGCCACCAATGATGACTAGTTGTGTAGAACACTGTATCTGTTGATACATACTGGGACACAATGTATTCAGCCACCAATGATGACTAGTTGTGTAGAACACTGTATCTGTTGATACATACTGGGACACAATGTATCCAGCCACCAATGATGACTAGTTGTGTAGAACACTGTATCTGTTGATACATACTGGGACACAATGTATTCAGCCAACAATGACGATTAGTTGTGTAGAACACTGTATCTGTTGATACATACTGGGACACAATTTATCCAGCCAACAATGATGACTAGTTGTGTAGAACACTGTATCTGTTGATACATACTGGGACACAATGTATCCAGCCAACAATGATGACCAGTTGTTGGTCAAATTCATTATTTATCATATCCAGTGACCATCCAGGCAGACACATTGACAACATACAACAGAGATAGTATCGAGGCTTGGAGACAGGTACCTACAGTTTGTCAATATTTCCTTAGACAGCTTGACAATAACCTGGGATTGATTAGAACACCAGGGCAAACAATGAAATCAATTTTAGATTGTTTGACAGTTTTGCTTAAACACATGTATCAATTCTTTGACACTTTGTTAGTATACAAAATAAACATACATTCCATTAATTCCAATGTCAAACATTTACATAGGATGTTCTGTTGATATTGCCATGGAAACAGTATACAGACCTACATCAAGTTATGAAATGGTTCAAAGTTTGGTTGGTCTCCTACCTGTGTAGCTGATCCATCAAAGGTGGTGTCAAACACAAACTGCTTTTCGCGGGATCGGTTTTGGCGAAGAATGTCATCTGGATCGTCCAAGGGATCGAGCAAAACAACCATCTGTAAATGTGAAGTACCAATGTTAGTACTACAATGTTCTACAAAAACAGTGCATCACTGTTGGTACCATCTCATTTGATAACAACTTTAAACTTTAAAACAACAGAAGAACACTGATGACAATGTCTTGTCTGCAAACAACTCTAAATATTGTTAGTACTATAAATGAAGTTGATAACAACTTAAAACTTCACATGATTTAAAAATCATATCATTTTACAACAGCACAACACTGTTGGTAAAACATTATTCTACACCTAGACATTTGTGGAACTACCTTATTTTACATTTACACTGAAAACTGCTAGTATTACCTTATTGAAACAACTGTAAAGCCTTGGTGGACATTGTATTACCATTTGTGATACCTGTGAATCACTTTGGCACGACCCTATTTTACCATACTGAAACATAGCACAACCTTTTTTCACTGCACCATCTTTTAATGAATATAGGGCCCACCTTTTTCCCCAGGGCAATGACCCTGTGTAGAGAGGGGGTAGATAACGCACACCATGTGTTTTGATGACGTGTTCCTACTGCACACACATTACAGAGGACATGTAACCCTGGCTAGACCATATCAACAAATAAATAGTCAAGTCCACTTTTTCATCCTGGTTTTACACTCTCTGGTAATAAAGAGTGTTCACTGAATGGCTGTACTTTTGTTTGTAACTTATTCTATTCAATGTAGAATGTGTATAAGAGGTCTTTCCAGGCTTCATATCCTGCTCAAAGCGCACACATATAATTTGATTATTATTACCCCGGATAATCCAAGCTGCCTGAGAGGTGCTAAAAGGTTAATAGTCACATGACTTATCCCACTGGGTACCCATTTTCTGCTGGGTTAACAGAGGCAGGTTTGAACAAACGCACTTGCTTACGGTGAGACCACATGTATCAGATGTGCTTCATTGTGGGGCAGGACTGAAGTCCTAGAAACTCTCAGGAGTCAAGCTGCCAAACACGGTCACCCATCCACCCTCAACGTCGCTTAACTTCAACTGATTTGTGACCTGAGCTCTGTGCACAGGACCACACACCAATATATCAAAACTGACCAGTACATTTAATATTGTTTACATAAATGTCGAGGTACCATGTGTGAAGTGATGTTCTGTACAGTCACTTCAGTCAGATTACTGCACTGATGTTATAACACTATAGTTGTCAGAGAATGGCCACACCCGTCATGAATGCCACAGGGGCGGATACAGCTTTTTGAGAAAGGGGGGTGCACACTATTGAGTAAAGGAGGGGTGCACACATAATTTTCACCTGAGTTTCAATGGTCATTTAACAAACTTTCAGCATAAAAGGGGAGGTGCGCACCCATGCACCCCCCCTCTGGATATGCCTATGTCTTAGATCGGCCTATGTCTTAGTAACTAACTGCCGCCTTAGTTTATGCAAAACTACACACAGGTATCCTAATCTTGGCACATAAACAATGCCTAGCAGAACACCTGACATCACTGAAGGAACTTGGTGTTGTTCTTTACTGTACATAAGAATCTTTTCCCCCAAACATTTATGAATCCCCTTGAGATGGTTGCACATGATGCTTTGGTGTGCAGTTCTATCAAGGAAAGACGACCTTAGTTTACAACCACAATGAAACTACAATATTTTACAGCAATGAAACAATATCTAAAAATGGCTTAGATTAATTAATTTTTATCCATAGTAACACAGTCATTGACTTGATTAAGAGGCTTCACTGGCATGCTCAGCAACATTGTTTAAGTGCTCTCAAAATTAAATCTATTCCACAGACTCCAAAATACTAGTAGTAAAAACTTCCATCTCTCCTATACAGCATAAATAGCAACACTGAAATATTCAATTTCACACATTTGTTCTCCAATATGGTTCAACTATCATCTTACATGATGTATAGTCATGTAAAGTATTAGAGGTAAGTTATAACGTATGATAAGTAAAGATTAGAAGTCCCCCCAACACTCCTGGGTTATGCATGTTTTCCAATACGGTTCACCTATCATCTTACATGACGTATAGTAAGTAAAGATTAGAAGTCTCCCCAACACTCCTGAGTCTCCATGATACGTACACCAGGCAGAATGTATCACAGCAACCTGCCTTCACTCAAGTGCTAGCACCCTGTCATGTGACTTTGCACTCACAAAAGCAATCAGTCATATCGAACTGATCTCATCGATCTCAGGCAAGTCGACAATCACCTGGCTTATACCCAAAGCTGCTAATGAATCCCCCTGGCTGTAAGTGAATGGTCAACTGCCTCGGCAGGTCAAGCAGGCCTGCTACTGCACGATATGGCTACAAATGAGAGGAGCCAGAGGTACACGCACAGTCAAACACCACTTGCTGGGGATTGTCACTTCATGCTTAATTCAGAGTGATACCTTGTGCCTTCATGTTCACCAACAAAATCACCCTGTGGTTGCAATGAATATTTGCTTGTAGCCCAGATATATGTTGCAGGTCAGTTGCCAGTTAGCCCACTGTCTAAAGCTGGCTGGGATACATGTATAATAAATGTAACACTACCAATTGTTCTTTTTCCTGTTGTATTTTTAATAGCCCTATCTCAATTTTTTACAAACTTCTAACACAAAAATGAATAGAACTGTTTTCCCGAACTGAAAGTTTGCCTTCCAAACAGTTTTTATATTGACAAATGCTTTAACCTTTAATTGAACATCCTTGATTAAACATGTATTACATCTTGCTCTATTGAAATAGTTACTCAAGCCAGTTAACCATGGTATGCAACATCTCTTCCCATTTTAGAAAATAAAAAAAACGTAAAAGGAAAAAAATCCAAGATTATTCCAAGGTCCATAAAATCAGTTTATAAAATACACTGTCATGTTGACCCATAACATATGTACTTCACTATATATATAGACACACAAACACTTGACGATCTGCTCCATATACCATACACTGACCTACCATTTGTACGTACACACAGCCCACATGACCCTGTGTCTGTATAACAGTCTATAGACTGATCCCCCAACACACAGGCAAAGATAACACAACCAATCTTAGAGTAAGGTCAATAAATCAGCTCATATTATTCACCACAAGGTTTGTACAAAGAGGTCAAGAAGTTGCTTTTATTGTTGTGAAAATAAATACTTTATTAACCATTTTATTTATTTGTTTACTGAAAGAAATGTGATCAACATACCTTCTAAATATATCAGTTACTCCTGGAAATCATTGCAAATATGTTGACAGAGAAATATCATAAAGTTGTGTCAAGTTCCAAAGGATAAAGAACACAGATATAAGTACCACATTTGTTGAAATAAGGTGATATTAAACACTGGTTGTCTTATGTATCATGAGTATCATGGCTTTGGAGAATATTTTCCCACTAATTATATTCATTCTATGTATCATACAGGTGCCCTCTCATCACAACCCTCTAAAGAAACTAATCATCTAACAGGCACCTAGTCTTACTAACTTGCACAGAATCTAAACTGAAAACCATCCCGCAACACAAGGTATGTTCTTCCTTGTCATCAACTTATATGGTGTATTTGCAGTATAATCAGTCACAAAAAAACAAATCATGTTAACACTGGTGTCCAGTTGATTTGTGCAGGTGAAATGGAGTCTCCTCCTTTACGTAGCGACAGCTAAATCATTCAGCTGTAAGTAGTTTCAACGTGACAGCCATAGTTTTAATGGCCAGGTGTGCTGGCAAATAGGTGCGTTATACCGAGAGTGTAAGTCCGAATCCCAGAGGGAACTCCACCCAATAAAGTACTAGCATCTGTAGTTTACTGAGAAAGTGTTTTCCCAAATATATCGTATGTTGTGTTTCCATGACCAGTTGAAAATCTAGAAAAGCAATGCAACATACTGCTTACAATACATCTTGGTTTCTTGACTGTATAGTTGGATTCAGGCATGGACGCAACAAAATTTATAAGAGCGTCCACAGGGACTCAGAAAAAGTCCAAATACTTTTTTGTAAAAATTCCAATCAAGTGACAATAAGTTATCACTGACTTTGCTACTAGCTGGGTTATGGTATTATTTGCCATTTAATTACTGTAACAATGTGATGATCATGATACACAATACAATAACAGTATGAAAAATAATATTTAAGTGTCTGGGACCCCCATTTTGTTGTCCAGGACCCCTGAAAATTAAGAGTATGAGTCCCAGGGGCACTCAAATACAGGACTCCATGTAAATCCCTGTGGATCCCTAAACTTTGGTATGTTAGCTTCCAAGAAATCAATTTACGTTGAGATGTGCAGTATATAGTTGAGTGAGTGAGTGAGTTTAGTTTTACGCCGCTTTTAGCAATATTCCAGCAATATCACGGCGGGGGACACCAGGAATGGGCTTCACACATCGTACCCATGCGGGGAATTGAACCCGTCGTGATATTGCTGGAATATTGATAAACGCGGCGTGAAAGTAAACTCACTCACTCACTCACTGTTTTGTCCACTGCATTACAACATGTACCGATCACTCGCGATTGGTAACCAGTCATAGGCCATTGTCAGTTGTTCAGTGAATTTTGTTTCCATTCTATTGTCATCAGTACTCTGGAACCAGTGGCAAGTTGCAGATAGGAGCAATGGAGTTTGGACGTCACTTAACAAATGAGCATTTTTGGCATGACGAGCGAACGCTTTAACCACTTGGCTACCCCACAGCCCCGCAGTGCAGTATATTGGAACACAGGATATCAGTTACTAACTATGATAGTGTGAGGAAGTCACATTACTGGGTAAATGACTTGTTTGGGCATTTATATATTCTTGTCAAAACATCAAACAAAAACATCTCTTGTTTAACCAACAGAATCTAAAGAGGTGATGGCCGATCCATACTATTAACATCATGTTGGGGTCAATAACAAGACAGTTTTCAGTCAACTTTAGGTATGATAGTGTATTTGATCTTCACTTGAAGACAAATAATCGTATCAGCCAAACATGTATGTGGACATGTCCAGCTTTCTCCCCAAT